TCCACCTCACCATCCACCCCTTCCACCACAAATACCTACGCTTCGCAATTGGTCAACAGCATTACCAATATGCAGCCCTACCGTTCAGCCTTTCAAGCGCCCCAAGAGTCTTCACAAAGACTATGATTGTGGTGGCGGCCTTCCTCCGTCTCAAGGGAATCTCCATCTACCTGTACATCGACGATTGGCTCTTGGTAGCATCCTCCAAGGACACTCTGGTCTCAAACATCAACGAGACAATGGTACTCTTGGAAAACCTGGGCCTGCAAGTCAATCTGTAAAAGTCTCAACTTCAACCGGTCTAGAAAATACAGTACATCGGTGCTCTACTGGATTACCTGCCACAAGACAGAGCGGCAGACACCATCCACCTAGCCACCGTCGTCCGTACCCAACCTTCAGTCACGGCCTTCCAGATACAGAGGCTACTCGGTCTTATGGCCACAACTACGTCGGTCCTGGTCTTCGCAAAACTAAAAATGCGTCACCTACAACTGAAGAATGCACATACCCCCTCCCAATATACGAGAGTCTTTACTTTGGTGGACTGTCCCTTCCAATCTTTTCCAGGGAGCACCCTTCCATCCTCAGTCACCCCAAATCACCCTAACAATGGATGCTTCCCTGACGGGCTGGGGTGCCCACACGATGGGCCTTTGTGTTGGAGGCAAATGGGATGCGCAGAAGAGGAAGTGGCACTGAAACTGCTGGTAATACCGTATGCTGTCACCAGCTTCCTACCTATGATCAAAGGGAAATGTGTCACGGTCCTCACGGCAACACTACTGCACTCAGTTATGTCAACAAGCAAGGGGGCACTGTCTCCCTATGCCTCTGCAACCTTTCCATCCAGTTGTGGAACCTTTGTATCACCAACAACGTTTTCCTCATAGCTACACACATCCCTGGACACATGAACGTGCAGGCAGACCATCTGAGTCGAGCAGGACTCAGCCTTCACGAGTGGGAGATGAAACCAACCTACCTCCTCCCACTCTTCTGCAGGTGGGGAGTTCTCCAAGTCGATGTTTTTGCCACCAGAGCCAACAAAAAATGTCCTTTGTTCTGCAGTCGAGGTGGAAGGGATCCACAATCTCTAGGAGACGGTCTCCTCTATCCATCATCCACAGGCCTTCTTTACCTGTTCCCTCCACTTCCCCTGCTTCTGAGAGTGGTTCGCAAAATCATCAGAGACGGAGCGGACTGCATCTTAATAACCCCATGGTGGCCGAGGCAACCATGGTTCTTGACCGTCCTCGAGTTGTCAGCAGGGGTCTACCATCAATTCCCTCTGGCACAGGACCTCCTCTTCCTGTCCGACTCTCCTCTCCTGTGCCATGACATGCCACGGATGAAGTTGACTGCCTGGAGAATACCGTCAACACCTTTTCCACCCACATAGCGAACATTTTATTAAACACAAGAAAGCCTACTACACGGAAGTCCTTCCATTACAAATGGCAAAGGTTCTGTTCCTCCTTGGGTGACGATGCCCCTCGAGCCACCTCCATGGGGCTCGAGAAAGTTTTCCAATTCCTCCTGTCCCTCGCTGACTCGGGACTCTCTCACTCCTCGTTAAGAGTTTATTTGGCCGCACTTTCGGCCTACCATGTTCAAGTTGACGGGTGCACACTGTTTTCACATCCGCTTTCAAAACGTTTTTAAAAAAGTTTATTGCATCTCTACCCTCCTGTAGAAACTCCTGTCGTTCCCTGGGACCTTCCTCTAGTTCTTCGTCAGCTCACGAGGAAAACCTTTGAGCCACTCGCAACTTGTGACATGAAATTCCTGTCGTGGAAGACGGCCTTTCTGCGAGGTGAGTTGGAGAAATACTGGCTTTCAGACATGACACTCCTTGTCATTTTTGCCAGATGGCGTCCGCCTTGTACCTGACATCTCGTTCCTGCCAAAGGTAGAATTTCACCTACAGGCAGAGGTCTTCCTCCCGGATTTCTTCCCTGCTCTGACATCCCCAGAGGAAAGGCAGTTACACACTTCGGACACGAAACGTGCGCTTCTGTTCTACCTAAACAGAACCTGCCCAATGAGACGTGACTGTCAACTGTTCGTCTCCTATGCACCAGCAAGGCTGGGAACGCGCATCACGGCTCAGCGTTTATCAAGGTGGATTGTAGGTCTCATCCACCTCTGCTACCTTATCGCTAAGCAGCCATTGCCTGGCCCTATCAAGGCTCATTCAACCCGAGCTGTTGCAGCCTCAACTGCCTTCCTCCAGGGAGTTCCCCTAATGGACATTTGCAGAGCCGCTACGTGGGCTACGCCTAATGCATTCATAAGGCCCTACACCCTAGATGTCCGAAATAACTCTCGTACCAACATGGGACGTCACATCTTATCCTCGGCTTCGCAGTTAATGACCTGCCAGCACCCTCCTCCAGGTAGGCCACTGCTCGCTAATCTCCCATGGGTGTGAAGCACAGAGACCACGTTGAAGATAAACAGGTTGCTTACCTGCAACTGGTGATCTTCGAGTGGTCATCTGTGCATTCACACCACCCGCCCTCCTTCCCCGCTGCTGTCAGCTTCTACATTTTTCATAGGGGTTGATTTGCGGCGGTTTGAAGGAACTAGTGGGATGTCCACGTCCACCCCTCTGGGCATGCGTGGTGGGGTTCCTGCGCATGCCTGAGGTCTGGGCGCGAAAATCCATTAAGAGCTTGCTACAATGCCGATCAATCCAGCGCAGGCGCACTGTATCCCATGGGTGTGAATGCACAGATGACCACTCGAAGATCACCAGTTGCAGGTAAGCAACCTGTTTTTTCTTAATCACTCCATGCATGCATGACTGACTTCATTTTAATAAATGCAGGCTCAGATACTCTCTTGAATTTTTTCTTCTCTTCATCGCTTCCTTCAATTTTTCCTTCTCAATAGAAAACAATGATCAAGGGAAAAGACTTGTTCCACACCTTTTGGTGAATTTTATCAGGCTACAATTGCAAGGTTACTTTCAAGGCCTGACATATGAATGGGCCTTTTCATAGCAAGGTTGGAGTTTGTTCTGAAATAACCTACCTACCTGTGGGTCACAGAAAGGAAGGCACCCTGCTGCTACCAGAAGGATCAGCACTCTGTGCGGAAAAAAATCCATGAGACTGCAGTTCAGAGCCATGTATTTCAGAGGAATGATACATTTCCATTTCACATGTTGGCAGAGAACAGTCAGGGTCAAAGACATAAGAGGTTGACACATTATTGAAATGCTCCCTAGGTAAAGAGCTACAAAAGACATGCATTATTGATCTTCCCCCACTTTCTTACAACATCACCACCTGCTTTTGTTGTTCTCCTTTCTATTCCAACAGCTCCACTCCCACCCAATGTCAACTGCCACAGTTTATTCCAGAGTTGGGGAACATACTTACTAGGTTGCAGTCACACGGACCAGAAAAAGGGGGAGGGGTGAGGCTGTTTCCTCCAGAGGAATTTGACCCACAATTGCATGATCACACCTCCCTTTGAAGCTGCGGGTGCAGTCTGTCAGTGTGTGATCAGACGCAACTGCGGGTGAGTCGGGGGTTTTTTGTGCCGGTTTTTCCCCATGCACTTAACCAAGGGATCGATGAATCACACCTCTGCACCGAGGACTCCCTATGGAGTTTGTGATGATGCGCATACTGCGAAGTGGGGGGAACAACGGCACAGAGTCGGGATGGCCTGATCAGACCATCCTGACACCATGAGAGCACCCTGGAGCGATCAGACATGGGAAAGTCCGTCCATGGCCCGTGGCAACCCGTTTACTACTAGATTTTCTCCAGTGCCTGTTTACTCCGCTTCTGCGGCGGAGCAGAATGGGTTGCCGACGGCTGCACGGCACTTCCCAGATGCTGTTGTCTGATTTTACCCTTTAAATCCGCCCAGCATTCGCACCTATGGTGGGTCTAATTGTGCGTATGATCGCAGTCCTAGACTCCTTTAATGCCAGGATGTGAGAAGAAACTGGGACAGGCAAGCAGGCCTAGCACAAATACTCGTTATAGGAAGCCAGACTCCCAGCAGGATTCCTTGAGCATACACCTTTCAGAAATGTTAAGGAACTTACCTACTGATTTTTAGCAGAGAGATTTGCTGCAAAAAAGGAAAATAAATTGCAATAAAGATGCCAGAAGGACAAACAGACCTAACTGAAAGAAAACTAAATTATTATTTATACATCTATACTAAGTTGATTTAAAATGTTCCAAACAAGGCTCATATTATTGTGGTACAAGTAGAAAAATAGGGAACTCACCTTGAAATAGTTTCTATGTTGTGCCCTGGTCTAAAATGCAAGGTATTTAAATGTAATTTAAAAATTGTATAGCTTTCCTACTTTGCTTCTCTCAAGGAACATCCAGGCAATTTCTCAGGACCCAACAAAACCCATGAATGGATTCATGGTTTTCATTTGTAATGACAGTCAGGGTAGGGAGGATAAGAACATTTCAGAACTGTTGTATAGCGAAAGGGGGATAAACCTCACACACACCACACATACCATTTTCCAAGCAAACAGCCCCCCAGAGCTGCTATGTACCCCAATGTAGGAATAATAAAAATTGCATTAAAACATTGAGCAGCTTTCTAAACGTCTTATATAACAGTTCTTAGGCAATCTATACATCTACCTCAGTGGGGCAAACAGCAGCTCCAGAGGGCCATTTGAGGAGAGGAGAGCATCATGAGGGGAGGGTTAAACTTTCCCGAGTGCCACAGCCCCAATATGAGTCAGGATCCCTGCAGCTGCCACGTTCCAATTATTATCTAGTAGACTCTAATTTGACCCTCAATTTAGTGTTTCTGCATAGATGGCAAGTCCTTTCAAGAAAGCTAAGATAGCCCATGCTCAGTGCAGGGAACCAAAATCATGATAAACTTCCTTGTGTACTGGGACAGTGAGCTACATACATCCTACTGATATGCATGCCCACCATTTTGTGTGAATCAGCGTTAGTATACAGAAATTCACACACTGTTCATGCACACTAAAGCTGAAAATATACATGTTGCGCTATTCACACAAAATGATGAACACACTATCACAGCGATCATGTGTGGTGTACTCTCCTGGTATGCAAAGTGGGAATGCCCAAAGGGGAACATATATACACATCTATTCATTTATTCATCAATTTAGTGTTTCTGCATAGATGGCAAGTCCTTTCAAGAAAGCTAAGATAGCCCATGCTCAGTGCAGGGAACCAAAATCATGATAAACTTCCTTGTGTACTGGGACAGTGAGCTACACACAGGGGTCATTTCGTAGAAAAAGAGCTAGGGGGACTCAAGGGGGGAACATATATACACATATATACACATCTATTCATTTATTCAGAAAATGTCTATACTGCCTCTTCAGAGAACCTGCTCAAGGCAGCTTACAAAATAGAACATAGTAAAAACATAAAACATTAAAAGTTATTAAAATCCCAGTATTGAAAACCAGCCAGAGCATTAAAATGGCATAAAAACACTGGGCATCTTTTAAAAAAAATCTCAGAAAATAGTTCTCAGGCTAAAAAACAGACAATAAAATGTTAACATAGCTCCTGAATTAAAAGCCTAATAGCCATACTTTTTGAAAATGCATGTCTGAAAATAATCCAGAAAATGAATTAGCTGGTAATCTGTGAAAGCACAGCGGACTGCTTACAAAACCCTTTCAGAGGCTGCTGCTTACATTCCAGGAAATTAGCTTCACTGTACCTCTTTCTGCACAAACTTCTCGATTCCACAGGTAATAACTTCTGCAGCATTGTGTAAAGTAAGAAAGATAGGAATTGGCTGCCAGGGAAGAAAATGTGACCAACAAGATTAGCACCGCATATTTGCTGAAGTATGCTGCACATTTTTCTTTCTGTGCTAATACTAGAAAGCAGGCATTTCCAAACATACCAAAGAGGCTGTGGTTCCATTTATCTTATGAATAGCTGACACAGGATTGGAGACATGACATTTGTTGGCGCAAAGTATGTGCTCTGTCACAGAAACACGAGTGCCTAGAGCTATCCCTAGAAGCAGCAATAAAAGTGATATAGCCTAACAATGAAATGCGTATCACTGGAACTACAAAATTTATGAAGCTATTTCTCCTCCTGTATTTGCCACTGGAATCTTTCTCAGTAGGATCATAGGTTTTCTGGACACTCCCCACATATAACATCAGAGAAAGAAAAATACATTTAGAATGTAAGAAGGCAAATCTTTCTAGCCAATTGTAAAATACACCTACTACTGATTAGAATGGCCCAATTTTGTTTTAATATTGAGCCTATTCTTACATGTCACTTGAATATAATAACGCTCTAAAACCCCAAAGGCATACAAGTTTATCTTTAATCTATATGATAAAATCCCACAATGTTCCCTAGATTCAAGTCCAGTAGCATCTCAAGAGACCAACAAGATTTTCTAGGTATCTGCTTTTGACAGATACCATCAGATACTGGACTCAGATGTAGCTGTTCTACTGTAGAACAACATGGCTACCCTCTGAACATTTTTCCTACTACGGGTAACAGTAGTATGTTACAAGTGTCAGAGTCCTGCAGCAATCAGTTCTCAACAACATTCCTTCAAGAGGTTTATGTTTATTGAGTACAGTAAAGGCAGATCTTCTGAGCATATATTCATTGTCAGAACTAAAAGCAAGCATGAGCAGGCTAGTGATGTACAGGAATCAAAAGGGTCAGTGGGTGGTTGGGGGCCAATCAGGCGTCATGCAAAAGCCCGCCTAAGCTAACAGGTAAGCATTCCCAGGGAGAAGGAGAAACAAGGTACCAAGCTCACCAACTCAGACTAACGGGCAATAAGGATGCAGGGAGAAGTGAAACTAAACATTCCTGAGAAACAGACAGAGGCAATTTATCCAGTGTTCAGCACATACACACCCCAGTCCATGGCAGCTGCAGAGCTGACAACAAGCTTTGCGTTTACAGCCGCCAAATTGTTCATGAAGAGTGTTAGGACTGGATGCAGAAACAGCTGCACTCGGGTGACTAACTGGACTGGGACAGTGCCACCACCTTGGTTCAAGATGCTGTGCCAGTACAGCAGGGGATACTGACACTAGAGCTGCAGCAGCAACATATCCATTATACGGGTAAAGTGGCCAGAAAGAGAATGCAGCATTAATTGGCAGGACCCTGGGTGGCTCCCTAGTGCCTTTTATGAATATTACTAGTTTTAAAGGGGTTTTGGTTAACAAGCAACATCACAAAATAAATATGCCCTACTGACACAGCCCAACCCTACTCATCCTTATTCCCTGCTTGGTTTAATAGGACTTATTTCCAAATAAGCATACACAGACTTACTGCTTTCATCTACCCTAAGATTCTGCTTAGCTTTTAGTTGAGCTAAGCAGATTTAAAGGTCTGCAATGCCCATATGTCATAGAAAAGAAAGACAAACAGGACAAAAACTACACCACTGGGCAGGGAAAGTGTCTCTTTCTGATTTAAAATGAAATGTGACTTAACACATAATATATTAAAACTGAATCATGACTATCTATAAAACATTTCATTAAAGACTGCTTTTCTATTTTAAAAATCTGATTTTGGAGGTTAAGCATTATAAATAGCATAGGCCCCGGTCACACGGTAACGTTGCTGCGGGAGAGGCACGGGAGTCCCGCGGATTTTCAAGGCGCGATCTCACCCCAACATCTGGGAAGCGCAGTGCTCCCGTGGTGAACCCGTGGCTCCCCGCCGAAGGTGCAGAGATTAAAAACTAGTACCTGTGAGGTACTAGTTTCCTGAAACCGTGGGCCAAGGGCGGGCGTCTGATCGCGTTCCCAGTGGACTTACGTGGCATCCGGTGCCCGCTGCTGTTCGTCTCCGCAGGTTGCGCAACAGCGCCCAACAGCGCATGCGCACAAAGAGTGATTGCTAGTGCGATCGCGCGGCGCGGCTTCTGTGCTGCGCTGCAGGATACCCGTCTGATCGTCATTTCCCCCGACCCACAGGACCTCGACTGGGATGTGTACTCAGGCAGCCGCACGTTAGTTTCCTCTGGGGCAATTAGTCACGCTTCCCCCCCCCGCGATATCCGGCCCGTGTGACCGTGTGATAGTAAGTCATGTATTCTTGTGCGCTTTCTGCTAAACCCAGAGGCTAGCAAGTCATCACAGGGGTGAGCGGGCGATGCCATCCTGTATATCACCAGAATCATCCATAATGCTCATATAGGAGATCTGGTACTCCTTTTGATGCCTTCAAACTACCAGAGCTCTGGAATGTATTCAGGCTGGATCCCACAGAGCTATTTGCTAGTAGTGGAACTTTCCTCAAGCACACAGAATCTTCTGCCAGTGATAGGGTGCGGTCAGACGGCGTGCCGGAGCAGTTTAAATTGCTCCGGTTCCAATCGGATTGTATTTGATCTGGGACAAGCACGGTCACATTACCCTCTCTCGCAGCACAGTACATGCGTCACACAGCAGCATGCGTCAGCGGTTTTTATTTTTTTATTTTTCACAGTTTGTGCATGCGCAGAACAAATTATCCCAAAAAGAATGCCCTGAAGCGAGGACTTCCCTTGAAACTTTTACAGCGAAACTGGCCTCCGTGAGGTCCTGGACTCGTCTAAAGCCTAAGACTAGGCACCATTTTTTAATTTGTTTTATTAACGCCGGGGCGAAACTTCGCCCAAGTACATTTTGCCGACACACACCAAAAAAATGGCGGCCGAAAAGCGGAAGCCTCGGGCTTCCGATCGGAAGTAGCTCTACACTGGTGGAGGCGCGATCACACAGCAGGAAAATGCGGCTAGACCCGGAGCACCAGGAAAACACCACTTGGGGACCTGGTAGAAGAATACTCCAATTTAAAGGGTGTTTGAGCCGGTTGGCAACGGCTAGGGACGGGAGGCAGATGTTGGCTGTGTGATCGCGCATAAGTAGTCCGTTTCTAACTGGCATGTATACCGGCTCAAATGGCCCGTCTGAACCCACCCATAGAAGCATTTCTGTCAATGGAAGGATCCTTGCATTAACAGAAGGCATCATCATTACCTGTGTGGTGTGGTAGGATACAATCTGCTGAAACCATATTTTGCTCAGCTATTATCAGGCTTTGCTTCTGACAGATTCTGGGCACTGAATATATATTAAACTATTTGTATTTACAATTGTATTAGGCCTGAACTACACATTACATTTAGACCTGTAATCATTTTAAGACCTTTTGTTGTCTCTTTCTAATACAATTTGTTGGTGCTGCTTTTGGAGAGGGAAAATGGTGCAGGCATAGATAAGATTTCCCCCCTCTGCTATTTTCTTGCTGAAAAACAACATCCCTGAGTTGTTTGACTCCTGCTGTTAAAAAAATTGTAGGGAGGCAGTTTTCATTGGGAAACATCAGAGCTTTTTTCCTGGGGGAATGTGCCAGAGCAGAGTTCCAGAACCTCTTTGACAAAATTATTTTTAAAATGTTTAAAAATTTACGAGTTTTTAGTATACAGACTGAAAACTTCATTTCCCTCTTGAGAGTTCCGACACCTCTTTAAAAAAACAAAACACCTGGGAAACATCAATAGAAGAAAAAGCCTCCTCCCCTTCCCCACACCATTCTCCCATTCCAAGAGGGTTACGAATGCCTTAAGAAATTACTGAACATTTGGGGGAGGGGCCTAGGGAGGACAGAGTCTGGGGATAGGAAGAACTCAACAGGGATGTGAAGCCATAGTGGCCACTTCCACACTTTCACTGTTGTTATTTTTCCCTATTGCTTTGGGTCCCTTGGGTGTCCACCCCCCCTTTTCCACGCGTGTTTTGCTCCCTCTGGGTATACTAGAGAAAGCAAAACACATTGGGGGGAAACACCTTGAGGCAATAGGGACAAATGAGTGACAAAAACGAAAGTGCGGAAGTGACCTCACTCTGATGCTGTCATTTCCTCCAGGGAAACTGTTCTGGGTAGTCTGAATATCAGCTGTAATTCTAGGAGAACTCTAGGCCCAATCCTGAGATTGGTAACCCTTCCCACCAAAAACAAGCCCCCGCGGTTGCACCTGGAAAAGAAAAGAAAATCTTTAAAAATGATCACAGAACTCAACGCAATGTGTAGTTCTGCCCTTGTTCTCATTTTCCCTATAGAATATGAACGTAAGAAGGAACATATTAGTAGGCCTTAAATTATTTTGATCTAAAAACACAGTAACTATGTAAGGCTCTTCTGAAACACTTAAGAACTTGCAAGAAACCGTGTTAAGCAAGCAGTTGAACAAGGCACACAGTCAGAAGCTGTCAACCAATTTTCTAAAAAACAAAGAACAATTCCTAGTTCTACCACTGGGCAGTTTGCCACTTCTGCTGCTGAGTGAGAAAGTTTTTTAAAAACCTCTTCTAATATGGGCCTCTTGAGGTACAGAACAATAATAGGAAACACTACAAATAATGCTATCCAAAGAAAGCTGACACCAGAATTTACATTCTTCCTTTTCTGTAGCCAAGTTTACACACATATATACATATGCACCCCTGTCCCCTCCCTTATCCCTATTGGCTTTTAGAGCCAAGAGAAATGTGTTCTGCTGCCAACAATGGCTCCAGAATGCCCAGCTCAGCTAACCTTCACCAGATGTTTATTGTCTCTGATGATATTTTTCAGTGGTTTTGGTCTTTACTAAAGGAAGCTCAATACCTTAGGCCAGCCAGCATAAGCACGTTCCCATCACCCCCATTCCAACAGCTTTCCAATGCATCCCTAAGTTAGAGCTAGAAATTCTCCCTTCAATTCCAGCTTTAGATTCTTAGAAGGAGAAACGGGAAATTGGATATATGCATCTATGATGATCAAACACACAAAATGTTCCATGGACCTAAGTCATTCATACCCTTGAGGTCCTGTTTAAAAGTAAGTGACCTGAAAGAGACTATCTAGTGAGCTAAGCAGGCATTTGAACCCAGCTCATTCAGTGCACATCATTATTTGGCTTCCATGTTTACACCCACCCCTAGTTATTTACAGAATAATGCCTTTGTCTTGGGTCACAAATGTAGGCTTCTTTCATGCATATTGGATAATACACTCTCGTCTCGATGCACTACAGCAATTGTTTGCAACTGGATATCTCTGTGTGAAACAGGAAAATCCAGCTGCAAACAATTGCTATAGTACATTAAGAGTGCATTATCCAATGTGTGTGAAAGCAATCTTACTTTCTACTTAAATAAATAATAAACAAACAAAACCCAAACTCCACCATCAGGATAATGAAATTCTTCTTAATCAAGTGTTACTTGATGGAAGCAGCAATAACCAATTCAGTGCTCATCTAGGAATTATATTTTCGTGACCTTATGTACCAATGCCCTGTGTGACATAATGCAGCATATACAGATTCACAGCTCCGCTGAAGCTAGATCACACAGGCAAAAGTTGGAGCTGGAGAAAAGAAAGTTTGGGATATAAATCAACGGCACATGAACTAATGTCCCCTGTTCACTCTCAGTGGATCTGTGATGCTGATATTCTAATTCCCAAGGTAACTGGAAGGAGAGAAAAGGAACAAACACTGGCTGCACACTGTTCCACCACTATTATTTTCATTTTAGAACTTGTAAAGAAATAAACAATGAACTCTGTTTGGGCTAAGCAAGGTTAGATCCAGAAGTTTAGCCCTGTAAATCACGATCTCTTTCATTTACCAGATTTATCTCATACACAAGCAGAGAAGTAGGTGGTTTCCACATGGGAACAGGCTCGTGTGCAGGGGTCATTTCGTAGAAAAAGAGCTAGGGGAACTCATTAGCATAACGCAAGGAAGCCCTGCGAAGGCCCTCCCTGGCCCCAGGCAGGCAGGGGTGGGGAGAGGCAGGGAGGAAGCAACTTACCCTCCCTCTTCTCCTGCCTCCTCCTGGCTGAATGAGGGCCGGAAGCAGGGGGCGGGGCTTTATCATGTGCCCCGCCCCCGGTACCTCACCCGGGGGAACAGCATTCCCCCGCGTTCCCCCCTGAAATGACCTCTGCTCGTGTGGTTTCCCAGTTGCTAGTGCACAGTGGCAAAGAGGCTTCCAGATGGCCAGTCCCCCCACAGGATCCCTGCCTCTTTCCCCTGGCAGTGGCCATCCCCTCCCACTGGGGACTTTTCTTTGTTCTTTTTTTAAATCAGTGATTTCATATCATTATAAACCTTTAAAGCACTAAATATAACAAGTTCTCTGGATTGTCAACTTTTGTTTTTTAAAAAAGTAGGTCTCTAGTCCTTTTTGGTACAGAGATATAAGGAGAAAGGCACATCTCAACAATGTCAGGGAATAGATTTACCTTTAAAAAAAATGAAATCTAAGAATTCAGAGAACCTGTTACAAATATTGTTAAACCAGTATATAAATATAACAATATTCAATTCCTTTATAACAAAACTGAAAAATCCTCAGTGGAGAGGTATGGCCACTGCCAGGGGACTAGGGCAGGAAACTTCTGGGAAACCTGCAATGGGGCCATTGGGCTGTATCGGCAGTCACATCAGCAGGGGGAAACCTCACAAGCCTGAGCCTGTGTGAAAACCACCTTACAGATCACATGCAAGCTTAGAAGAATGATTGCCAATATTCCTGCCAGCCAGAACCCAAATATAGCTCAGCAGAAACAAAGAAAGTGCTCAGCTTATGTGCAAATAGCCCCGGTCTCCTGCAAAAATAAAAACGCAAACCCTCATAACATTTAGGCTGGACCCTGAAGTCCTTTCTCAGTGGAGGCACAGGAGATCTTATGACAGAACATTGGAAGATAACACTTTTCTGTCTTTCCTGTTTGTTGGAATGATCACAGAATCTATCAAAGACTATCTGTGGTACTTTAGAAATACAATTATTAGTCTTCAGAAGATGCCTTATACTGAGTCAAACCATTTAGTTCTTCTGTGCTTCGACTTACCTAAAAATCTCTGAGTGTCATTATTCATAACAAACTATATGATGTGATGCAAAATGCAGGAGGCGTCTAAGGGGCAAGAAATTCAGCTCCAAGACAGTGTTAACCCAAGATGTCTTAGCACCCAACACAGAAAATCCAAGTTTTTACGGGAGCCACCTCTACCTTGAAAATGCCTAGAATTCACACAAATTCAGTGTCTTACAAAGGAAAGATCTTCATCCTAGTATATTATTTGCAGTGAAACATTAGATTTGTAACAGGAAACAAACACATGTGAGATTTCACTTGCATACATCTTACCAATCTGGATAGTGCCCTGGAACCTGAGTAAATATTGCCCACAAAAAGTGCTGAAGCTGGAAGCCATGAGATTACTTCAGCCCTGTAAAAAAATCAATGGAGCATGCAATCATAATTTTACCAGGCTCTGGTTATACATGGATGACTGAAACAGCCACGGCTGCTTCACCCACCCCATTCATCCTGTATTTCCCTCTGCGCTATCACATTGGTCAGGCATGAGCACAGAGAAAGTTGCGAGCTTTGCAAGATGCACATCTCAGAACTAAGGCAGAAATCATGCAGAGTTCTGCAATTGGGGCTCCTAAGCACTTTTCTTTTTAAAAGAGCTGGGGGGTAGGCCCTGATTCCGACTGAGATTGCAATATGAAGGGAAGGAAATTATCCCCCCACTCCATGCCATCTTCCAGACTTCGATCAGAAACACAGAACTGCTATATGCCCCACAGATGGCTTGTGTGTTTGGCCCAACAAGACGAACAGCAGAGATGTAGAGCTGTTTCAGGATGGGAAAATGGCATGAGGGGAGATGGTTACATGCCTCTCCCCCCCCACCCCCGCATCATGATCCTGATCTCAGCCAGAGACTAGCAAGCCTGTTATTTACATATCTAAGTTATAAGAACAGAAAGGCCAATGTCACATCTGAGCTGGCCCTTACTCTTACCAGTACTGTACTACAAATATGTTTACTATCAGTGGTTATTTGGTTACATAAATTTTCAAAAACTGTAAGTTTTGAATGTCCAGGAATATATCCAATGCCCTAGCTACTTTACCTCCTCAGGGAGGTTATGGCAATTATATGTCTGTAAAGATGTTTAGCTGCGGTGGCTCAAGTGGTTAAGACGCTGAACTGCAGGCTGTGGAAGGTCAGTAGTTCAGCAGTTCAAGACCCGAGTTGCCGCATGATGGAGTGAGCTCCCGTCTCTATTTCCAGCTCCTGCCAACCCAGCAGTTCAAAAGCAAGAAATTTCAACTAGATAAATAGGTACCACTTTGGTGGGAAGGTAACAGTGTCCCGTGCGCCTTGGTGTTTAGACATGCCGGCCACATGATCACGGAAATGTCTTCGGACAGCGCTGGCTCTTCGGCTTTGAAACGGAGATGAGCATCGCAACCCTAGAGTCGGACTCGATTGGCTTTCAAGCAAGGGAACCTTAACCTTTAAAGATGTTTTTAAAGTAGGGATGAAAGTAAGCTGGTGTGGGCCAGTATGGCACAAGAAAGTAGCCAAAGTATTACCTACCATCTTCTGCCCCCTCTTCCCAAGAGAAATATTACTGGCAAGAAATGCAAATTACTTTCACCTCCACTTAAAATATAATATTGTGGTTTCTCAAAAAAGAACATTGTGATGTATTGTGATGATGTATTGTGATTTATATTACTATAATCAGCCATTGCAACAAAACGAAGATGAAAAATATCCATGCCTGATAACAGACACACATATCATTTCTCATAACATCTTGACCTTGGTTTGCTGAGCACCTGATAAACAATTCAGAAAATTACAAAATATACAGGAATTTCTTTTGACTTCTTGTTTACACTGTAAGCCAAAGTGGATGTTTATTTTTGTATGCCATAATAACACTTTTGAGGACACTGATCTTAATGGAAACTTGTCTGCATCAAATTGACAATGACTGTGATTATACTGCTGGTGACCTCAAATAAAAGTTGCCTGCTTAAGACAAGCAATACCACTTCAGCTGCAGCAGCTGTATAAAAATAAAGTCCTACTGCTTAAGAACAAGATATCAATATGGTAAACAGAGATCCCTGACCACAATGTGAAGCTTGAGGAATCTCAGAAATGCTTGCCTCTCCAATGTGGTCATACAAAATGCAATGGGAAAGGCCAGAAGTGTTCCCATGATGTGAATACAGAATTCCATCCTGCCAAGAGGGATTTTTTCCAGGGCTGGAAAAGAATGTCTGACGCTTCAGGAAATGCTTCAGCAGCAGTCAACAGTCTTGTATGCCAATCCATACAATGGTCAGGCAGAGAGTCTTCTGTAATGACTGCTCCTAAATTCCTGTGCAGGGCTAGTTCTGGGACCAAGTCAGGCACATGATTGCTTGGGGAGGGGCAGCAAGGAGGGTGCTGAGGCACTGCAAGGGTTCGGTACCTTCTCAGTCACTGGCCGTGCAGGGAGCATTGGGCAAGGCTTCTTGGACTCAGCCAGCAGTGGCACAGAAGGAGGCAACCGGGTGTACATTCCTTGGGGCAACAAAATACCTTGAACCAGCCCTATTCCTCTGGTGTATTCTTTGGCACACAAAGAAGAGAAAATGCCATATTACCAGAGAGTAGGGATAAGTGCAATAGTTTGTGCCTGCGAGGCATGCCTATATTACAAATCTCAACCGGATTAACTATTATCTCTTCCTCGAAACAAATTTTGCAGATTTCTGTTCTGCAAAGGTGTTAAAAGATCTCGGCGGGGAGGATCTCAGCATCAACATAAAGCTTTGAGTAAGGTCCTAACTACTAAATTGATTTAAAACCAGAGGTCATTTCGGGGGGGATTGCAGTTCCCACGGGTGAGGTACGGGGGGCGGGGCACACGACGAAGTCCCGCCCCCTGTTTCTGGCCGCCCCGCTTCCGGCCCTCATTCAGTCAGGAGGAGGCAGGAGAAGAGGGAGGGTAAGTTGCTTCCTCCCTGCCTCTCCCCACCCCTGCCTGCCTGGGGCCAGGGAGGGCCTTCGCGGGGCTTCCTTGCACTTCTGCCGGCCTTGCAGGTCCACCGACGGGCCCCTCATGGGGCTCGGCAGTGGAGCTGCAAGGCCAGCGCCGGCGGCCGGGATCGTTGGGGGCGGGGTGTGTGGCCTTATGACACACTTCCGGTGATGTCAGGGGGTGTGGCCTTATGATACACTTCCGGTGATGTCAGGGGGTGTGGCATATGCTAATGAGTTATGCTAATGAGTTCCCCTAGCTCTTTTTCTACGAAAAGACCCCTGTTTAAAACCAATTTAAGGTTATTGACCAGATTATCTGAAGCCTTATCTGTTTACTGTGAGGAAGAATAACGAAAAGGTTACTGGAAAAGAATCTGGGAGGGAACTGTGTTTATGAGAATTTCTTGGCCTTTGCCACTAGGTAATGCTATCAATTTGACTTCTATTGACCCTTTGCCTACAGTATCACTGAAATTATTCTCAATATTTTAAACAGAATAAACTACTCCAGTTTTCTTCTGCTTTTGGCCATCTGAGGGATCCTTTTATCCTACTAGTTTAGTTATTTATAGTTCACCTTTCTCACTGAGACTCATGATGAATTACACAGTGTAAGTTAACACAATCAAGAGGATGGAACATCCAGTAAACAATGCAATAGGATTTGATGCAGACATCTGAAACCAAGCAGGAATCTGAAACAGAGCTGGAAGAAAACAAAAGCATTAACATGACACATTCGGTCTCTGTTATAGGGATAGTTTTTATGCTGTTCAATGACTAGTTTTTAAATAATGTGATGCAGTTGTAATTGTAAGCCACCACAAGTAGGACTCTGAAGAGGCAGCATGGAAATATACTAAATAAATACATCTCCTCAGGGATTGTCAGCCTCAACATACATGTGTACACCCCCGAATGTGCATACATACCCACACTGTGCAATCCTAAAACACAGTTACACCCTTCTAAGTTCACTGAAGTGAATGGGTTTAGGATTCCATTGGCAGTCACTGCCTGATTCTTAGATGGTGTTGGCAGTGGCATAAAGTGTGATTTACCAGGTTTGTGGTGAACAAGCTGTAATCCTTCTTCTTGCTAACGGATCCAGCTGCAGTCAACTATGGTTTCATAACCTCCCATTTCAATTAATGCAACATACTCTATGCACAGCTCCCTTTGAAGATATTTCCGAAGCTACAGCCAAAGAAAAAAAATCCAGCCCACTTACTGGATGGGGTGGGAAACAGAGAGCATATTGTTCCTGTTCTGACCTCACAGCATTGGCTGCCTATTCGTTTCCAAGCCCAGTTCAAAATGCTTGATCTTTAAAGCCCTGGTGGTCTGAGAGCAGGTCCTCCCATATGCTCCTCCCCATTCCCTTAGCTCTACGAAGGATGCTTTGCTTCCTATCATTTACTCAGGTGAGCTCCGCAAGAACGGACTCCATGCTATGTTAGTTTTGCTTAGACTGACATCTAGTGGAGTGAAGTTACAAAAGAAAATCATGACTACCACAGCCATAATATAACACCATTTTAAACTGTATTTATCTAAAACTATGTTAGCGAGCTGTGCTTTTGTCACTACAAAACATCATTTTGGGGCTGCATTCGTTTTACTAATATACCCATACGCACGTTACTTTTTTTTTTATACATGCAACCACTTGTTACCCTATGAATAAAATCACTGTATTGATGCTAATGTGCATGGAATTCTTGAAGCACAGATGTCTTATACCATAGTTGGGTGATTTAGCACTGCTGTAGACAAAATTAACTCGGGGGGAGCATTTTTTCATTACATATTTTAGAAAATAACGTTGCATATTTGTAAGACCAGGGAACATTTGTACTGTTAAGGATGGGATGCCTTTCACTCCCATTCTGCAGTCATTCCACTGGATGCCCATCAGTTACCAGGCCCAATTCAAGGTACTGACTATCACATGCCATGCCCTTCATGGCCTTGATTCCTCACATCCACAGAACTTCCTCTCTCCCTAACACTTTGCCACAACATCTTTGCTCATCTCAGTCGGGCCTTCTGCAGGTGTCACCCTACAAACAGGCAAAATCCATAACCGCCTGTACTCATGAATTCCCTGTTATGACCCCCACCTTATGAAATGTTCTGCCTGATGAGGTCAGGAAGACTCCCACTCCCTTGGCTTTCACAAACTATGCGTAACAGAATTATTCCAGAGGGCTTTTTGCATTGCAATATGACGATGCTCTAATCTAATGTAATGCTTCAGAAAGTTGCACTGGTAAAGGAATGGGGACTGTGGCCTATACTGCTGTATTACTACCTATCACTGTAAATATGCTGCAACGATGTATTTTTTACACCAATTTAGCATGTCGTGTTTACATTCTTATGCTTTGTTTCAGCTCCGGTTTCAAATTTCTTAAGTCCAAATCCTATTGCACTGTTAATTTGATGTCCCATCCTGTTGATCGTGTTCGTCTTACACTATATAATCCACCTTGAGTCTCAGTGAGAAAGGTGGACTGTAAATATTGGGGAAAAAATGTTCTAAGCTGTTGGAATTTTTCCATCAATTTATTCATTCTCTACAAAATATCCAGATCTAATTTTTATTAAGTGTTCACTCCAGTTACGACAGGCATACAAAAAACTGGTTATTTCATTTTTCTTCCAAAATGTAAGCTTCGTAGATATTCCAGCAATAGTGACAGATTGGGGAGCCAAATATCAGTGATGAAATTAATTCATATACCACCAGCGAGTAATCAAAATAACACAGCACACTCCAAATAAATTGTGTTGCAATCCCACTGTACCTTGAACTGCTGTTCATCTCCACCCAGCCCCACTTCCAGGAAATGTGCAGCAGAAGTCCACCAACTAGTGCCTGCCATCTGTAATTGCAAAAAAGATTTTTAAAAACAATATGCCCAAAATGCTGGGCATTCTGTGTTCAGTTTCCAAGAATTCTTTTCAAGCAAGCATTTGGAGCCCCAGTGCAGACTAGGACCACAGCTCAAGGGTCAGGGTGATTGTTTAAGCCTCCCTCCCAACCACTGTTTTCCCAACCTGAAAGGGGTCCCACAGTGGAGTAAATATACAGAATGTATCAAGAGATATTTGCATGAGCACACTGAGTTTCCTCATACTGAATCAGACCATTGGCCCGTCAAGCCCAGTATTGTCTGCTCTGACTGACAGAGGCCTTCTAGGGTCTTAGGTAAAGGTCTTTCACATCACCTGCTACCAGATCCTTTAAAGCGGAGATGCTGGGGATTGAACCTGGGACCTCCTGCATGCCAAGCAGACGCACTCCTCTGAGCCACAGAGTCACCCCCGTAAAGGGACATGTACAAATAGGCTTTTCCGCACACTCTACTTACTCCTGATTTTCTTGGCAGTCAATCCACAAGCAGTGGAATCAGTTTGAGCATGGTTCTTCCATTTCTTTTCTTCCATATGTGTCTTAAACAATTAGTATTTTCAAGGGAGGGTGCTGTGTCGTTGGTGGCATCACAGTACCTCCCTTTTTAATTTTTTTGTGCATGCTTACACTGCTATACTGACATAGTGTTGCAGTGATCGTTTAAGCAAGTCCTCTGAATTCCCAGCTTCCATTTTTTTTAAAGTAAGTCTCGAGCTGCTTCCCTTGCAGATATGCCTTTTTCATATCTCTGTGAGGAAAGGCACTAGAGACTTTCTTTAAGGAAAGCTGGGAATTAAGGGAACCTGCTTAAACTATCACTACAACAAGATGGGTTGCCACGTTGGTCTGTCTGTAGCAGTAGAAAAGAGCAAGAGTAGCACCTTAAAGACTAACAAAATTTGTGGCAGGGCATGAGCTTTTGTGAGACACTGCTCACTTCTTCAGATATCAGTCTTGATATTTTAGTGCCTTTAAAAAAAAATTAAAAAATGAAATCGTTTTCAAGGCAGGTGGGAGGAGAAGGACCACTGTGACAGTCCAATCATTGTGACAGTCCAATCATTGAAAAGTAGGCTGGAGGTGGGTGGGAGTGGGTAAGACAGAGACACACAAGGAAGAAGACCACTCAAAATTGGCTTCCAGAAAATGATTGGAGTAAAAATGATCTCAATGGAACCAGAAAAAAACCTGGAAAGGGGGACACACACACACACACACACACAAAAGCTGAAGTGAAAACTAAAGGCACAAAAATGTATGCAGAAATCCAGGGATAAACCAAAGCAGTATGGGACCAAAACTAATGGGAAAACCCCATGTGGAAAAACCTAGTGATGATCTTCTGGGCTCTTCAATCAGAGGATTAGCAGTATTAAAAATGCAACATCACTAATTACATACTCTCTAACATTTCATATGCTTCAATGGAACCCTTCTGTCCTCATACTTTACAGGCCTCATCCACAGTTACATATTGGTGAAGGCTCAAGTTATATCTATTTGACAACAGCTTGTTCTTCACTGTGAAAGGCAAGAAACTGGCTGTTCTTTTAGATCAACATTTACTAAAAAAATACAGTTGTTACTATTACCGTGTTATCAACAGTTCATGTTATACCTCAACAGCTGAACTGCATGAGCCCCTTGTGAAGGAGAAGGATGGGGTATAAATATTTCATAATTTAAATATTTATAACATTATTTACTTATGGTACATGCATTTATCCACATGTATACATAGCCAAGACATAAGATGCAGAGATTTAATGTCTTGGGTCTCTGTATAGGAGACAAACCTGGAATAATCATAATTCTCTCACACAAACATTTCATCAAGATGTCTCCAAAGGAAAAATAAGGACAAAATATGGAACGTAATTTATCAGGGACATGTGCCAGAATGTACAGGTAGTCTATGGATGCCAGCCTCTAGGTGGGACCTGGGGAGCCCCCAAAATTACAGCTCATCTCCAGACTACACAGAGCAGTTCCCCTGGAGAAAAAGGATGCTTTGAAAGGTGGACTCCCTGGCATTATATCCCTGTCCTCTCCAGGCCCTATCCCCAAATCTCCAGGAATTTCTCAACCCGGATCTGGCAACCCTACCCCCCATGCCCACTGATGGCCGGAGGGACCTGGCAACTCTAAGGCTGATAAGTAAGGATGTTTGAAGAATATGTAATCAATACACCAAAACATAACATAAAAACAATAAGATGTGACTTCAGTTTCTGAAGTGCTAGTACACAGCATCCAATGAAATGGGGACGATGCATCCAGTTCCAAGTCTTTTTGCACTGCTACAATGCCTGCAACTCAGATCAAAGGATCTTAAGTCAACTCTCCTCATTAGGGCCAACTCTATAATAAGATGAATTGAGGCAGTTGCCTTTGGAGATAGATTGGGGGGGCAGTATTCTACCTTGCCCACTACCAACCAACTGTCTGCCTGCTGCCTCTCCCAAGAAACAAGAAAAGATTTCTTCCTTATCCCTTACTTCCTCAGGCTTCTTTAAAATTAGTTTGCGAACTTCCTCAAATTTATTTCTGCAAGAGTTCAGCCACCATTTTGTGTTGCTTGTTGCCAGGGCAACAAAATGGTAGCTGAACTCTCATAAGAGAAAGTAATCTTTGGGAAGCCCTATTGTGCAGCCTGTCACACCATTTTTTAAAAAAGAAAACAGGACAGGACACCAAAAAGGTAAGGAGGCTTATCAACTCTTGAGCAGGGCAGAGATTCTTGAACCACCGCTGATCCCTGTGTAAGGCCATTTTCACAAGTGACAAAGAAGCCCTTTACTGCATTTCTTGTATATCTAATTCAAAAGTAAGTTATTTGTTGTTTTAAAGCTGCTGTGAGTTGGTGATACGTAAATGACGTATGCACTGTTCTAAGTTCCTTGGAAGACAGAACAAAAGTGTAACAGAGAGATCGAGTCTCACAGCCATGAACTCACTAGGCGACTCTAAGCAATTTACTATTCCTGTCTTGGTTCCATTCCACATCTGTGGGTTTCTTTGTTTTCGTTTTTTGCTGTTAAGTCACTGCTGACTTACCAAAACCCTGTAGGAGTTTCAAAGCTAGAGACATTCAGAGATGGTTTGCCATTGCCCGCCTCTGCATAGTGACCCTGGTATGCCTTGGTGGCTTCCCATCTGAATTCTAACCAGGGCCCCACTAACCCCACTTAGCTTCCAAGATCTGATGAGATTAGCTAGCCTGAGTGATGCAGGTTAGGGAAAGTAGTAATACTGGAGTGGATAAGACCGGGGACAACAGAAACATCCACAGGGTGTGCTAAATAATACACACAAGAAAAAATAAAGAAGCATACTAAAAGAAAATAACAGAATAGAAAAGACACACTGCAATAGTATTTCTAAGAGTTGGTCTTTTAAAAATCTATTATGTGAGGATAAGAAGATTCCCAGCCCTCAGTTTACATTCCTCTTTATACTATCTTATCCATAACCAACTCCTATCCAATTTAACCAACACCATTGTCTGTGCGCTTTCTAGAGAAGGAAATGCAGACACATTATTAGCTAACATAAAGATATTTATATTAGCCACTACATGATATAGTTACATGGTGATTACAATCATATTGGAGAAAAATCTGTTTTTGAAATTGTACTTACCCTTGAAAAAGGGTAGGGTAGGTGAATTTCAGGACAGACAAGACAAACTGGAAAACAAATGCTAAATTAGTGACATTGTGCAATAACAGTGCTAGCAAAACAAGTAATGTTTACAGAAACCACAGGCATGACTGTTCAGTGGTTGTGTTCAGACTGGCAGTTTGGCCCGATATAGGTACATTTTACAAACAGATTAAATGGGCACGATCACACAACCACATCTGTCAGGCGTTCCCCGGGCATACTCACCCTGTCAGAGAACAACTTGGAGCTGGGCTAAAAAGTCACCACCTCCGAAGTGGTGTTTTTGTTTCCCTGTGCATTCATTGCGCATGGCCGTATATCTGAACACGGGGGAGCATGCACAGAACGGATTTGGCAGTGTGAGCCTGCAGATCCGTTCTGCCGCTACGGAGGCGGTTTTAAAAAAGACTTGCTTATGTGCGCATGTGTGCGCATGCGCACTACGCACACACATGGTTTTTGGATTTTTTTTGCTGTTCACTCCGTGGCTGAGGTACCACAATAATGTGGAGGCTTTACCATGGGATGTCTCTGTGCGTAACCCACAGCAGGGTGTGCTGTGTGACTGATATATCCCACTACACTTTAACCCAGTTCAATTAGAGGCAGCACCATATCGCGCGCCAAGCTGCCAGTGTGATCACAGCCAGTGTGTGTGTTCCAGGCATGAAGACATGCTGGTGTCAGCACACACTTGAGGAAGGGTGTGTGTGTGCTTTTAATATTATGATTCCTGCAGCGTCTTTTAAAAATGTCTAGAGATGGGGGCCAAAAACAGCCACATGACTAATGTTGGAATAGCAATGTGACTACAAAACACATGAATGTGGAGAAAATCCAGGCAGGCACAAAATAGCCTTCATTACTGCATGAAAAAGACATCACCTGGAGCAGCAGTATCTGCCGTTCTACAATTACAAAGCCTTTTCCTGGCTGCATTCCCACATAATATAAACATAGAACATTCAAAACACATAAGTGTCCATAGATCAGCCAAACTTGGGGAGGCCTTCAGCATATAAGAAATACATTTGGATCACAGCTTCAAAATCAAATGGCATTCCCAACTACAATTGGTCTAAGACAACAGTGATCTATACTTAAAATAAAGTTTGAGCCCAGTGTCACATTTAAGACCAACAAAGTTTTATTCAAGCTATAAACTTTCGTGTGCATGCACACTTCTTCAGATACAATGAAATGGAAATCACCAGTCCATACATACAGGTAGAGGGTAAGCAGTGAATTACCATACAGCACAATGAAGATGTTTAACAGATTCAAGGACCAAACAGAAATAACAAGCTTAGTTTATATCCTTAATTGTGGAATGCTGAGAGTACTTATCTGAAGCCATGCCATTAACGCTCCAGCCGTCTCATCTCAAGCATGGAGGCGACCTTACAGCATCTTCTTCTTTGACATTAAGGATACATCTGTCCATCAATCTCCAATTTTGACGTATTTATTTCCTTCACTGTTTCCCCCCAGAATTAAACCCAAACAAATGGTAACCATGTAAACTAAGCTTGTTATTTCTGTTTGGTCCTTGAATCTGTTAAACATCTTCATTGTGCTGTATGCTAATTTAGTGCTAATTTACTGCTTACACACAATATGTATGGACTGGTGATTTCCATTTCATTGTATCTGAAGAAGTGTACATGCACACGAAAGCTTATACCTTGAATAAAACATTGTTGGTCTTAAAGGTGCCACTGGACTCAGACTTTGTTCTGCTGCTTCAGACCCACACAGCTACCCACCTGAATCTATACTTAAAATAGTTCTACCCCAACTTCAGAGGACAGCGGAAGACAGGAGAGCCTGGCGGGAGCTGATCCATGGGGTCGCGAAGAGTCGGACTCGACTGTGCGACTGAACAACAACCCCACTTTCTAGCTCACAGGATTCTCAGGGAGATTTCCAAAATAGTGTTTAAAGGTAGTAATTTAGCACATTCCCTATTCCCACATAAATACTGTATAGGTCTTTCCTTCTTCCCTCAAAATAACCTGCTTATTGCAAGTCATCACTTTAATTTTGGGGATCATTTCCCACAGCCTCAGTAAGTGTTTCTACGGTGTTCAGTATCCGCCCCCCCCCCCCCCCCCCCCCGTTCTCTTGGGACAAGAGGCTCAATACCTACTGTCTCTAGAAGAGCTTTGTAAGTGATCAGTTGCAGACTTATTTGCTTCTGCCTTTCGAAGGAGATACGTGACCAAATCGGTTATTTTATACCAATTACCAAAGACAGGAAGGGCTTCAGAATAGGTTGAATGAAAGAACGATTCGGTTTTACGTTCTTCCGAGAAAGGACTACTCGACTCATAAAAAGGAACGGAAAGTCAATGAAGAGCAGCCTGAATTGCCTTCTCTAGAAATATGAAGTTACCGGGCCCTAGTCCTGCTACACTTAGAGCACAGTGAATCGTAAGGTAATATAAAACCAGGTGTAAATATTGGCCAGCTCAACGAATCCAAACAGCTGGCAGTTTCCTCATCCTCACCTTGTTGGTGAAATAAGAAGTCAAGTAGAGTAAACAGAAGGTGAGACCAACTGCAGGTCTCTTTAAAGGCATCTATCAAAGCATTCCCGCAGCCCGAAAACGGAACCGTTAAGGCACTTTCTTCTTGCTACGAGCTCAAGAACCGGCTATCGACTGAGGCTGCCATGATAGGGACACGTTGCTTTTGTGTCTGCTCCAATAAGCACAAGGAAAGGGCCCGAGGAACTGCCTTCTTAAAGGGGCAACGCTTCCCCTAGGGAAGAGGACAAAAGCCTCGATCGGAGCGCGGCTTTTTATCCCTGTGCCCTTCGAAAATAACTTTCTCAGGGAATAGAAACTTTATAGATAATGATCTGCTCATCTCTCTCTCTGATACATATTCAAAGTTGACAACTGAAACCTCCGTTTAGTCATTATTTTAAGTGGCGATATGCTATATCTCCATGTTCAGATTTTTAGAGTTAAATAAATGAACGGGATTGATTTTTATATGGAGATATGCACACTCCACGAATCTTGTAAAATTTCAATCTCTTTGGTATTTTATATGATGCACTGTAATTAAGCCAAACACAACCACCGAGGTGAACAAACACCTATGCCACATCTTTCTTTATATAATAATACCGAACAGACTGACACCAACAACTCTTTAAAAGTGCAGATTGTCCAGCACTACATATTTCAGTTCCTCAGAACACCACATAGCTATATTCTAGCAGAAACTCTAATTCTGGACTAATATATCAATACTGAAGGAGTAAGACACAACCATGTGGAATTCTGTATGGTGCTGCTCTACATGGTGAGATGATAGTTTACAGAATGCTACTTCTTAAAGGGGCAACGCTTCCCCTAGGGGAGAAGACAAAAGCCTCGATCGGAGCGCGGCTTTTTATCCTTGTGCCCTTCGAAAATAACTTTCTCAGGGAATAGAAACTTTATAGATAATGATCTGCTCATCTCTCTCTCTCTGATACATATTCAAAGTTGACAACTGAAACCTCCGTTTAGTCATTATTTTAAGTGGCGATATGCTATATCTCCATGTTCAGATTTTTAGAGTTAAATAAATGAACGGGATTGATTTTTATATGGAGATATGCACACTCCACGAATCTTGTAAAATTTCAATCTCTTTGGTATTTTATATGATGCACTGTAATTAAGCCAAACACAACCACCGAGGTGAACAAACACCTATGCCACATCTTTCTTTATATAATAATACCGAACAGACTGACACCAACAACTTTTTAAAAGTGCAGATTGTCCAGCACTACATATTTCAGTTCCTCAGAACACCACATAGCTATATTCTAGCAGAAACTCTAATTCTGGACTAATATATCAATATTGAAGGAGTAAGACACAACCATGTGGTATTCTGTATGGTGCTGCTCTACATGGTGCGATGATAGTTTACAGAATGCTGGCAAGCCCATTGAAAGGGTTTTCCTTGACCCACACACCTAGCTTTAACTCAAGGGTAATCAGTACTTCTAAAAGCTACATTATGCACCAGTCAGACACCTGGTTCAGTGTTACATCATTGAACAGGATTGATTTAATGCCAAGTACTCTGCATGTTTGCTTCTTTTGGTAGCTGTGTGGCTACTATAACTTTCCACATTAAGACTAGTAATTTTGAAAATACCAAAGTGGAGGGCAATTAGTTTATCTGGTGGTGGTTTTAACTTAGTTCCATTAATTGTGGCAGATGTGGGGCCACTAACAAAGAAACCTTCCATATTGTAGGAAACACATGTTGATGTAGTAGTTAATAGTAGACTGCATTGTTTATTCTGAGATGGTATTGAAGATGCTGAAAACCTGCATTCCCATAGTTGGCTCCATATTATTTAATTAAAATAGGGAGACCACAACAGCATGACTTCACTGATCACATGTATTTATTTATTTTGAACATTTTTATGCCACCTCTCCAGGAAACCTGCTTGAAGTCCCTTACACCATGTTAGAGTCACCAACAGATACATTTAGTTAAAATTAACAAACCACTAGCACATAATTTTTAAAACCAGCATTTAAAAAACCAAGCCAAAGTGTAAGGACAGCACAAAACCTCTAACAGCTTTAAAAGGGTCTCATAGAACAGGCTGGAACAGACTGTAAAATAATTTGAAACATTAACTGCTAGCTGAAAGTCTGTGTAAAAAGGAATGTTTTATTCTGGCAACTAAAAGAGAGTAGTTGGTGCCAGGTAAGCCTCAAGAGGAAGGGCATTCCACTGATGGGGTTCCATCACGGAATAAACCCTGTCTCTGGTCACCACCCACCTCACCTCTGCAGGAAAAGTGATAGAGAGCTAGAGTTGCCAGCCCTGGGTTGGGAAATACCTGGAGATTTTGGAGGTAGAACCTGAGGTGGGGAGGGGAAGGACATGAGCAGGAGAACTGATCTTGGTCATCTGGAGATCAACTGTAGTAGCCAGAGATCTCCAGCTGCCACTTGGAGGTTAGCAACCCTATGTCAGGCTGGACAGTATAGGAGGCAGTCTTTCAACTACTTAGGTCCAAAACTATTTAGGAACTGAAAGATAAGAACAAACACCTTGAGTTATCCTGGAAAGACATGGGCAGCCAGTGTAGATTTTTCAGCAAAGGGGTAATACTATCCCTGTATTCCACCCCTGACAATGGCCTGGCTGTTAAAAAAAGGCCATCAGGCCAATGGTATGACATCATGCCTCTCTAGGAATCACTGGAAACTGTATGTTAAAACTATAGTTTTTAGTAATTCCTAGAAAGGTTTAACCATAGAGTTTGTGGCAATTCCTAGAGGGGTGTGATGTCTTTCCCATAAGTGATTTCACCTTGTCGCGAATGACCACCCCATGTCTAACTCTCAATCTCCCACTGGGTTGGACCTGGCAACCCTAGGCCTGACTGCTGCATTTTGGACTGGCTGAAGTCACATGGATCACTGTGGCCAGATCATGCTTCTCAAGGAAGGACTGTAGCTGGTGTATCAGCCGATGCTGACAAAAGGTGATATGTGCATGGAGGAGATATGAACCTCCAGCTGTAGATCAGGATCGAGCAGCACTCTCTGGATGTGAACCCACTCCTTCAGGGGATGTGTAACAATCTCCAGGGCAGGCCGAGCAGCTTTATCATTGGCCAATAGCACCTCAGTCTTTTCTGGACTGGGCTTCATTTTATAGACCCTCATCCATCCCATTACCATCTCCAGGCGTCTGTTCAGGATTTCCACAGATCCACCTGACTCAGTGTCACCTTATTCCAAATCCACTGATGATCTCTCCCAGAAGTTTCATAAAGATATCGAACAGCATGAGAGACAAGGTGGAACCATGTAGGACCCCATAATATAAATGCCATGGCGCTGAGCTGTAGTTCTCCAGAACTCACTTCTGGAGTCAGCCAATCCCGTAAGTATAGAACCAGTGCCTGCTACTCCTAACCTCAGAGTCTTTCCAGGATACCATGGTTAATGGTATCAAAAGCTGCTAAGAGGTCCTAGGTAGGTTTTTCAACCCCCATGTGGGGCCTGGAGATCTCCAAGAACTGCAAATTATCTCCATGCTACAGAGATCACTTCCCCTGGAGGAAATGGGAGCTCCTGAAGGTGAACTCTATGGCATTACACCCTACCGAGGTCCCTCCCCTCCCTAAACCCTGCCCTCCCTAGGCTCTACCCCCAAATCTCCAGGAATTTCCCAACCCAGAAATGGCAACCCTATATGGATCTAGATAAACCATCAAGTCTAGATGAGGTGGGCTGCATACTTATCTGCAGCTTGTTCACCATCAGGCCTCAATTCGTCCATACAACTAGGGCCAGGCTGCACTCCAATGGCAACCTGAGACTGAAGTGTCAATGCAGTTGTGAGCAATTTTTGCCAGCAAAATGCATTGTAAAAGAGTACCCAGGGCCCTTGTGGGCCCAGGATAACAACACTCTTACAACATGGAAAAACTCCACCACACCACACCACACCATAATATAGTAGAAACCATGGTGTTGCCCCCCAAGCAGTTGTGGGGGGCACAACATTGCAAAACAAGCACTGCAGCATTGCTACAATATCACTTCTGGCGCAAACCAAGAAGAGTTGTCTGAACATTGGTGTGACACTCTAGGATTCCACCAAAACTCTGTTTGATGCCAGTTCCCACCCCCATTTCCTCCCTGCCACTCTTACTGAGCAGCAGGACGCTCTCAGACTCCTGGGTGGGGGTTCCCGTGGGTTTACTGCACTGCCATCACCACCACAAAGTGGGCGTGATAATGCACTCTCAACCACATCTGGTCACATTCACTTCAAGTTTACCTCCACTTGCACTCCAGCCATCTGCCAAACCACTTCATTGCCCCAGCTGCTCGGCAAACCAGGGGGGTGTTCTTGGATCTGCAGGAGGAAAAAGGGCATTCGGGAGCAATTGTATCTACATTGTTAGCTACACCAGCATCAGCTAGAACCTGTTATGTTAGCTTTTTTAGCTGCTGTAATTGCTACATGAGAACTACTGCAAAGGCCATCTTGTAGGTCTTTCTAATGCTACTGTCAAACACCCACCCCCCCAAACTGGGACAATGTTGATATAGGGCATGCGGGCCCATGCCTAGGATTTTATTTGGGGGGGGGCTTTCAAATTTTTAAAATTTATTTGGGGGGGCAGAAGGAGGGTGCACAGCGCAGACATGGCATCCAACATGTACTGAGTGGGTGCTGGAAATGCCTTTTTAAAAGATTTTCAAGGGAAATCTTGTGGGTCTGTCCCTTATTAAAGGGGGCAGAGCCCCAAATAGCCCCACCGTAGCTACGGGCTTGAGGACATGTGCAATGTGATGATCACGGCAAGAGAATACTCATTTTACCTTTGTGGTACAGGAAGCAGCTGTGCTGTATCGGCTCTGATGTCATAAAAGTAACTGTGAGAAGGGGTCCCAAGAAGGGTACCCCATGTGATCAGACAAGCATGCTCACAAAGGCAATCTGAGGGTTAACCATTTAGTGGAAGCCCTATTTTGGCAGGTACACTGGTAACTAGTACCAAAGCCAAGAAACGTATGTAATTGCCATCCCACATCGATTTGCAGATTACACAGCAATTCGTTACACTTGTATTGTATTCCTCTAGGGCCAGTGATGTAGGTGTGAAAACTTATGAAATCTAGCGGACTGATGTGTAAAGTAGTAACATAGTCCTGGTTCGTACATGAAAAAAATCCACTATGCAGAGCAGCCTGAGCCATGTTGAACCTGGTGAACACAGCACATTGACACTTGGACTTCCCAAAGCCCAAATCATGTAATCTTTCTCCCTGAAAGTTATTTGGGGGAGGGGGGATCATGAACAGGAACTTCAGAGATAGTACGCCCAATGAAGATACCTAACTCATTGTACTTTACTACCATTATGTAGTAAGGCAAGAGGGCTACTTCACATATGAACCATGGAGTACAATGAAGGAAGGCGATCACCGGTTCCGGTCACACGGGCAGGAAAATGTGTGTGGGGGAAGCGTGGCTGTTAGCCCCGGGGCAAAATAACGTGCAGTTGCACGAGCAGACGTCTCGTGGAGGTCCCGTGTATAGGGGGGAGGTGCCGATCACACGACCATGCGGCAAAGAAGCGGCTGAAACGGACTACATGTCCCAGAAGGTCACTTGGTGGGAAGAGAAGGGAGAAATGGACATGGCCAAGGGGTGGGGAAGAGGGAGCTTGAGTCCTGACAATGAAACCGAAAGGCAGGTCCCCCGGAGGGGGGGGGTCGCCGCTCTGGGCGACTCTGAGCTGTCTTCCGTGCGGCTCCTGGGGACGGTTGGACAAGCAGTCGCCTCTTCGCCGTCCTCCAGGGCAAACAGGTTTTTTTCCCCTGTACACTGAAGTATGTGCATGCTCCGTTGGGTGCTTGTGCGCATCCATGGAGACTTGGGGGGGAAAAAGCTTTTTGCGAGGGGACATGGGCAGGTGCCGGATGCCACCGGAAACGCGATCAGACGCCCGCCCTTGCCCCGCGGTTTCTGGAAACTAGTACCTCCGAGGTACTAGTTTTTTGTCGCGCGTCTTTGGCGGGAAGCCTCGGTTGAGCCACGGGAGCGCTATGCTTCCCAGATGTGCTGGTGAGATCGCGCCCGGAAAATCCGCCTATCTTCCATCTCTCTGGCGTGGCTAACGTTCTGTGTGACTGCAGCCACCATGTGTTTTTCAGCAGCACCAACACTATTATCATAACTTGGGGGGGGTAGAGAGCAAGTATATAAATTTTTTTGCTTGACTCCTGCCAGCTTTGGGCCAAACTAGACATGGCAGCATCGTTATGGCCACCACAGGGACTCTGCCACCATTTTAATGTCATATTCTAAAATGCTGTGAGGCCTACAGCACGGTGCTTTTGTCCTGCCCCTTTTCAAGTGGTGAAACAGCTGCAGGGAGGGTGAAGCCATTTCAGTTCTTGATCAGGTGTAGGCCTGGGCCCTTGTGGCATTTTTAAATGACTTTAAAATGGTGGTGGCATCCTTGCAGGGGCCAGAAAGAAGTCTGATAAAGGGCCAATATTAAAAACCTAGTTGAAACTTATACAAATATACATGTATTTATTAGAAAAATAGTTAAAAACATATAAGGGCCCAATGAAAGCCTCATTAAAAAGTTCAACTGGCCTAAACACAAGGGCCAATACACATGGCCTGACACGTTTCCGCCCTACTGGGGTCTTCTTCAGAGGTCAAACAGAGAGCCAGTTTGGTGTAGTGGTTAAGTGTGCGGACTCTAATCTGGGAGAACCGGGTTTGATTCCCCACTCCTCCACTTGCACCTGCTGATGTGACCTTGGGTCAGTCACAAGCTCTGGCACAGCTGTCCTTGAAAAAGAGCAGTTTGTGTCAGAGTTCTCTCAGCCCCACCCACCTCACAGGGTGTCTGTTGTGGGGAGGAGAAGGGAAAGGAGTTTGTAAGCCGCTCTGAGGCTCCAAGTGAAGGGCGGGGTATAAATCCAATCTCTTCTTCCTCTTCTACTGAGGTACACATAACAATAATACATATTACAATAAGATAACCAATAAGTTAATACTGGACCAAGAAAAGGAAGGTTAATAAGCAAGATCTATAGACACAAGACAAAGATGTTTGTGAGGCCTCTAAAGATGAAAGTCATGTGTCTGGTGCCAAATGCACAGCTGCTGAATTAGAACATCTTCCAATCAGGATGCCATCATGTCTAGTTTGGCCCTGGGTCCTGTCAGTGGTTAATGGCAACAAGGCAACCAAGTTTCTCACTCACAAGTCTGAGCCGTAAGTTCAAAGTAATATTTTTATTAAACTGTTGATAAGGAGCAAAAATGAGGGTGTTTTAATGGGACTACCGGTGTTACAGGTTTAATAATTCTATTTTACAATCATGAAAAAACCTGTTTTTGTAGTGTTCGCTTCACACAAATTATTTTTACCCCTTGCTAATACAAATACGGAACATTTTGTTGTAGTTTCCAGTGCATCTATTTCCTGCAGTTTGTGATTTTTGTTTTCAAGAATGGAATGGCTTTGTAGCAAATGCTTTTGCCACAAATGTAGGGAAGCTAAGCAGACAATATGTTTGGGACAGGCTGAGACCCCCCAACCCCCTTTAGTGTTCAGTCTGTCACCCCCTTGTCTGGCCTGTGATAGACAAACATGAGCACTCAGTTCCAAAACACTGTTTCCTACCTCAGGGAGAACCATCACAACTTAAGAGGAGAGACCTGTGGCCTTGCAAGTCCCTGAGAGGAAAAAGACATGGTACTGATCTGAAAGAGGAGCTGAGTAAGAGGCCTTTGTTAGGATTTACTCTGAAACCAGTGAGCACAGGATTACACTACGGTTAAGTGACAGATTCAGGTGGGGTAGCCCTGTTGGTCTGAAGCAGCAGGACAAAGTTTGAGTCCGGTGGCACCTTTGAGACCAACAAAGTTTTATTCAAGGCATAAGCTTTCGTGGACACGTACACTTATTCAGATACAGTTGTTGTTGTTGTTCAGTCGCACAGTTGAGTCCGACTCCTCACGACCCCATTAACCAGATCACGCCAGGCCTTCCAGTCTTCCACCGTCCTCTGAAGTTTGCTCAACTTCATGTTCATTGCATCTATGACACTGTCTAACCATCTCATCCTTTGCCGTCCCCGTCTTCTTTGACCTTCAATCTTTCCCAGCATCAGGGTCTTCTCCAGTGAGTGCTCCCTTCTCATTTGTTGGCCAAAGTATTTGAGCTTCAGATTCATTATCTGGCCTTCCAGGGAACAGTCAGCGTTAATTTCTTTGAGGATTGACTGATTTGATCTTCTTGCAGTCCAAGGGACTCTCAAGAGTCTTCTCCAGCACCATAGTTCAAAAGAATCTATCAGATACAGTGCACGGTGTAAAGTGGAAGAAAGTCATTGAAGCCTAAAGAATATTTTCCTGAGGAGGGGAAAACAGCAGTAGGAGAAGGGAATATAAAGGTGGTGGTGCTGGAGGGAATTATCAGCAGAGCCAGAGCTGCGAAGGGTAACGAGGCTCTGTGACACATCCTACCCCAGCCAGAAGAGGTGGAGGACTATTTCCGCTGGAAGTGATCGTGACGCACGGAGGGAAGTGCATTCCGGGGACCAATGAGCTACTGGCGCCGACGAGCAGGGGCTGGGAGCAGCTGGGGCAAGCCGGGGAGAAGACGGAAGAAGCTCTTGTTTTGCCAGGTCTTCCTGGTTACGTCTTCTCCATTCTCTTTTCACAGCGTCCTTTCCTGTTTGTTCTTCACATGGAACCTGTCGGAGTCGCCGCTGTTGCTCCCTCAGCCGAGGCGAGCCAGGCCCCCATTTGGCCTCAGAGCAAGGTGAGTGAGTAAAGGGGGGAAAGTGGGGTTTGGGTGACTCAGGGAAAGGCAGAATCAGAAAGGTCCCCCACCCAGGGTTGCCATTCCCCAGTTAGGGGTGGGGGTGTCCCAGAACGTCCCCCGACCCCCACGCCGGTGTCTTCGAGGGACCTGGCAACCCTTCCCCACCACCCCACGATCTGGCCTAGGTAGGAAGCGAGTGAAATGATAGAGGCCTGCCGTGAAATGGACTCTCCCATCTCGGACTGTGATGGGGGGGGGATGACGAGGGGGGCGGGGCTGGGCGGGAGGGCGCATTGTTTACCTAAACAGAAACTCTCTCCGCCTAGAAAATCAACACAGCAGGGATCGTACTTTGTTTTTTTGGGTTTTTTTAACTTCTAGAAAGTTATGTGGGAGAGCATTTAAAAAATGGTGTCTCCCCAGAAATCATCATCATAGACCTTTATTGGCATAGCATGATATTACAGGAAGATAAAATAAGATAAAACTGAGGGTTTTATACCACAGTAGTAGAGGGGGGAAAGGTCAAAAACAATAAATTCAGAATAACATCCCAGAGTAAAACTGTACATTAAGAACTAAGTGTTAAAAACTCTTGCCCTTAGCTTCCATACAAGTGAGAGGAACTCGGCTACAGGTGCAGTGATTTCAGGGGATTTATCAGAAAGCAAGAAGTTAAACTCATTGCGAATAATCTTTGCAACCCCAGAAGTAGCGTAAACAACTATGTCACTTTAGGTATCCCTAAACCGGGCCTCAAGATTTGGGACTATTGGATTTTGTTCGAGAATTGGATGTGCAGTTTCTGTGTCCTGAAAGTATTGGCCTTTGTATTTACACCCTATTTCTGAAATATTGCTGCCTTTTTCTGATAGAATGCAAGTGTGATAATCAGGTGACGTTTAGTCGGGCATAGAGGTGTAGTGGTAGGTGGAGTTTTGTTTTTGGATTTCTCCCTGTCACACAACTTAAACCCACAAGAGAACTGTAAGAGAGATAATTAATTTGTTTCAGCAAAAGAACAGAGTCTAGTAGTGCATTAAGGGCTGACAGTGCCATCCTATGAAAACTTAAAGGTAAAGGTGCCCTTGCTTGAAAGCCAGTCAAATCCGACTCTAGGGTTGCGGTGCTCATCTCCGTTTCAAAGCCGAAGAGCCAGCGCTGTCCGAAGACGTTTCCGTGGTCATGTGGCCGGCATGACTAAACACCAAGGCGCATGGAATGCTGTTACCTTCCCACTGAAGTGGTACCTATTTATCTACTTGCAATTTCTTGCTTTCGAACTGCTAGGTTGGCAGGAGAAGAAAATTTACAGCTTTCTAAATTCAGCTTTCTTTAGGTTGGCTCTGTAAGTATTCTGTTGTAGCATCAGCAAAATATGCTTCATCAGGTGCATGAAGTTATGGAGAAATGAATGTGTATTGTTGAGGATACCCTGGTGATGATGTCCAAAATAAGAAAAAAAGTCAATCATAGTTAATTTAAAATTAGTAGAACCAAAAACGTGTACTAATTGAAGTCATGAAGGGACAGAACTTTGAGTAAGTTAATTCTAAAACTTGTTTGCTGAGTTCTTTTATAATTGAGTTATAATCTGCTAATTGTTAGCACTGCCAAATAGCTAGACTACTAATTAGTACCCTTGTTTTAGTGAAGATACACAGGATTCTAATGTTAGTGCTCACCATGCTTAACAGGGCCAGATCCTGCAATTGAAATGTGTTTTAAGCAAAACATAACCAAATTCTCCCCTCTTCTCCCAAGTCTAAGGTGTTGTTTTTTCAAGTAAGTTAAATGTGAAATTAATCAGTTATTCTTTAACTCTAGTACACTAAATCAGTTTGGAATATTCTGTTGTCCAGTTTTCTGCAGTCAGTTTACAGTCTGTTTTCTACAACTTGTGAACCAATCATACAGGGAGATCTAACTGTTCAACAATTCTTTTTGCAATTTCAGTTGCTGAATAGGTTTGGTCCAAGCTTGTGTAGGCCAATATGTTCAGTTTAAATCAGTGTGGCAGAGGTTTTTTCAAAAGGAGATGCAGTTGTAATTCTTGATGTGTTAATGAATTTCCAACTGAACTTCCAATTTTAAGAATTCCCAGTTCTTCAGCTTCACCAGTTATCACTTGGTGGGGCTTACTCCCAGGAAAGTTCCCTTAGGATTGCAGTCATAGTTAACCAGTCACCAAGTTATAACTGGCGCAGCTGAAGAACTGGGTATTTTAAAAAGTAGGACTTTAAAATTCTAAATGTATTGGATAATAAAGAGCTATGACAACATTACTTCTAAGACCCATGTTATTCAGTGGAAAGTAGGTCTGCTATAGATCTAGGCAGATCCACTCAGGATTGCTCCCTATATTAGGGTTCTTTGGAAATACTGGCAATTTGTTTATCAGTATTGAAAATAGTATGAGTAGGTGTCATATAAAGGAATTTTTCTGTAACACAACTTTAATTGGTTTTCTGCATATCAATTCAAGGGAATATGCAATAATTAAAAAAATTATTTTAAGGAAAAGTCAAATATAAAATATCTGTTGTTTGTTGTTGCAGTGTCCATGGGGAGCTCCTAAAAATACCGCAATATCATGCTCCCTTGCTGATGTCATGAGTGAACAACTAGCTAAAGAGCTGCAGTTGGAAGAAGAAAACACTGCTTTTCCAGAAGTGGTGTCGTAAGTTGATCATCTTTGTTTATAAATGCTTTAGACTTAGCAGATGAGTTACTCCTTTATTTTCCTTGCATTCTGATTTGGAAGTCCAACTTTAAATCTCTGGAACTCCTGAGTAAACATACATTGGTGCAGGCTGAAAGTTGTCATTTCAGTTAGCTGACATAGCTGTAATGGTCACTACAAGGGCTGGACCAGGCTTTTCTGTGCCTGAGGCAAAGAGGGCAGCCTTAACCCTGCCTGTCATTTTTTTTTAAGTTGGAGAGAAGGTAACAAAAGTACCCCATGGAGAGGGCACTTGGTATGGAAGGATGCTGAGCTGTGAAGATACTTTGTACTAGGTGGAAACAATGCTGCATGGTAGAAGGGGTCAGGAATCATTTTGCTTCATATAAATTGCACCACGTGTTCTTTTCTTAGGTACCTACACAAAGTAGCAGAATCAACTTCCTTCTTCTGTGACAAGCAGCAGATGGTGCGGCTAGGTTGGCAGTCCCTATTCTTACACTTAGTGCAGGGCTTCCTCAAAATGAGGAAGCAGTTCAGCATATTCTGTTATCAGGAAGAAACACAGGGGTTCACATCAGACAGCCCCCAACAACGAAGGGGTGCCACAATAAGTGAGAGTATCACTTCGAAAGACTTTCTTCACTTTCCCTCATCCAGAGAAGGAAGATAAAGCAGCTGCTAAAGGTATTCAGAGCCCATGTTGCACCTGCCACCCCTAAAGGAGGCAAGTGGCTGGAAGTTATTTTATTTAATGGCAGACGTGGGCCCTCTCTCTCTTAATTTAGGACTCTACTAAAGAAAGTCTGATCCTCCCACTGAATTAAGAGAAGAGTTGTCAAGTTTTTCTCTGAGAGCAGAAGTTTCTTTTCAGTTTGTCATTCATTGGCTGCGGTCACACGGAACATTAGCCACGCTACAGAGACGGAAGATAGGCGGATTTTCCTGCAATAATAATGGCAAGGCTAGATTGCTGGTCCCTTGACATTTTAACACCATTTTACTCTTGTCCATCATATCCAGGGTTGTTGAAGCACCATTTATCACTGGGGAGAACAGTGACACTTCTAGTGATTTGATGCTGGCTCAGATGCTTCAAATGGAATTTGACAGAGAGTACGATGCACAACTTCGCCGTGAAGAGAAAAAGTTCAATGGCGACAGCAAAGGTTAACATTATTGGTCATGACTGCTTTGCTAGGATAACTCTGCCTGTTGTCTCAACTTTTAGAGGTGTGAGGCATGGGAAATACATGGTAGTCAAACACCTCTTTGTATTTTTGTTTCTCAAGTGTCCATATCTTTTGAGAACTATCGGAAGGTGCATCCCTTTGAAGACAGTGAGAGCTCTGAAGATGAAGTTGACTGGCAGGATACTCAGCATGATCCATATAGAGCAGGTAGAGTCTTGATTAATACCTTATAAAGTCTGTCACTTCTACAGTAATTATTTCAACCTGTAAGACAGTGAAATAAGGAACTGAGGTCAGTGGCGTGTCTCAGGTTACTTAACAAACATACTGTGAAGCAGGTACTGTATTTTCATCGTGTGCACACTAGACTCAAACTTTGTTCTGCTGCTTCAAACCAACACGGCTACCCACCTAAAATTATTTTGCTAAATAAAAGCCCTTGTGTTTAATGGAGCTTTGCTTACTATTAACTTAGAAAATATGTAGGCTGCCTCTCCAGGGGTCTGCTCAGGGCAGCTCCTAAACAGCAAAAATAATGACATGGAGACTATTAATACTAAATCAAACCATATAGACAAATCAAGGCATAAAAACAGACTTTTGTCAGACTTTTAACCTTATGTTTTTGTCTAGGCCTGAAATTGATAGCATCAATCTGATTACTATCCCAGAATGCTTTCTTTTTTTGTCCAAGAGTATAAAACATTTTGTATAGAAAAGACTATTACAAATGATACACTTTACCATAATAAGGATTAGAGGGGAGTAGCTTTGTTGTAGACAAATATTCAACAATAGGAGACCACAGTGTAATCCAGAATGCTTTCTAAGACTTGGTTAAACAAATGTTAATATAAGGTCATCTGGTTAGAGGTTGGTTTTTTTTCTGCCTCACAAGTCAAGATAATGAAACCGTATATCTGCTATAGTTACTGAATAAGAACGTGTGTTCAAATTATTTCTAGATAAACCCACTACTACTCCAAAAAAGGGCTTTATAGGAAAAGGAAAAGATATTACTACCAAACATGATGAAGTTGTATGCGGAAGAAAGAATACTGCTCGGATGGAAAATGTAAGTTCTGCACCAAGTTCGTCAAGACCAACCCATGACACTACCTGTAACTGTAGTGGAAGGAGTACTTAAAAGCAGCACTGACCCTTGTTTGGTGTACAGTTTGGTGTACAGAGCCAGTTTGGTGTAGTGGTTAAGTGCACAAACTCTAATCTGGGAGAACTGGGTTTGATTCTCCACTTCTCCACTTGCAGCTGCAGGATGACCTTGGGCAAGCCATAGTTCTGACAAGAGCTGTCCTTCAAAGGGCAGTTTCTCTCAGAGCTCTCTCAGCCCCATCTACCTCACAGGGTGTCTGTTGTGGAGAGGGGAAGGGAAAGAAGTTTGTAAGCTGCTCTGAGACTCCGAGTGAAGGGCAGGGTATAAATCCAATCTCTTCTTCTTCTTCTGTGCCCCATGTTAATGATTTCCAACACTTATGCAGTAACCAATACAGATATTTCTCTTTAAAATTCTTCTATGTGCTTGTTTTTAAAATACTTTTGCCTCTTAGGGAGTGGAGCAGAAAGGAAGAACTGCATGGAGCACTGCACCTTCCAGCACAGAGCTAGCACAGCTTACTATCTCACTAGCATAGCTGATCCCAGTATTTCATCAAGAATTAACTTCAGTTTCACAGTAAGGTGTCCCTCCCCCAATATTATCAGCAAGAAAACCAACCTGACTTTGTAGAAATCGTATTGGACTTGATAATCTTTGGATTGGTGTAGAAATATGTCTACTGTCTGAGCTCCTTGCAGGGAGTGCAGGATAGAAATATGATAAATCACACCGGTAAGCATATTAGTACTAGTGTAGGGTCTCCCCTCTTAGCAAGTTGTTCTGACAAATAATTCAGATGCTTTTGAAAACATGACCTCAGTCTTTGAATTTCATGTCTCTTTGCAGTTTGCTCCTGAATTTCAAGTTGGTGATGGAATTGGTATGGATCTAAAACTATCCAATCATGTCTTCAATGCCTTAAAGCAGCACGCATACTCTGAGGAGCGTCGTAGTGCCAGGCTTCATGAGAAGAAGGAGCATTCTACTGCTGTATGTCTTAGTTACTGTTTTGCACTGAACAAAATGGAAAAAAATTGCATAGTTTTACAGGGTAATGACACTTGGCATGAATTAATACTGTGCTGATACCTCAAAATCACTGTCCAAGTTGCTCAGTGACACTTTGATATAAAACATTTTTAAAAAATTATTATTTTCTATACAAAACAGAAATAAACCATTGCATCAAGATATAGAACATTTTTAATGAACTAGTAAACTTGTTTTGTTTTGCAAGCCTAACTTGTTACCTTACTGACTGCTAGAATTTTGTTGCTAGAATTATGACATTGTTGCTAGAACTATGTTATAGGAAAGAGTCACTAAGTCTTAAGTCCTCATCAGTCAGCCATGCAGGAAATTGTTAAACTTCCTGAGTGAGCTGCGTGCAAAACTAGATCCTTTTCAGCAGTTTATACAGGAAAGCTAGAAATAACATGTTGTTTCAGCTAAGATATTGTAGATTGGTATGGTTGTCTCTGATTTTATAGGTAGCATTCCTTGAGAGATAAGAGATGAGCTATGGCCCCGGTCACACCCCCCCCCTCGCTGGGGAGTGATGCGTTGGGCTGTATATTGCCCAAACTGTCAAAAGTGGCCGTCGCTCGCTTCGCACGATCGCGAAACGCTTCAGTCCTCCATCTTAGCCAGACCGGAAGCCCCGATCATACCTCACTCCTGTGGCGCTGCAAAGAAGCAGATCGGAGGGGTTTTTTCTTTTAACCCAAGTATTCGCATGCTCCGTTGGGTGCTTGTGCACATCCATGGAGACTTGGGGGGGGGGGGAAATAGCCTTTTTGGGACGGGACATGGGGGGGGGCCGGATGCCACCGGAAACGTGATCAGGTGCCTGCCCTTGCCCCGCGGTTTCCGGAAACTAGTACCTCCGAGGTACTAGTTTTTTACCCCGCATCTTCGGGGGGAAGCCTCGGGTGCGCCACGGGAGCTCTACGCTTCCCAGATGTGGCGGTGAGATCGCGCCCGGAAAATCCGCCTATCTTCCGTCCCTCTAGCGTCCCTAATGCTCCGTGTTACCGGGGCCTATGTTATGTTTCCACTCTGAAGGTATATGTGAGAAGTAGTCAGTGGAGAAAATCCAGCAAGAGATTATCTTTAAAACATCTGAATGAACTGGTCTTAATTTAACATGTTTGCAGATTAATCAAAAATGCTGTCAGTTGAAATAAACTGACTAGGAGACATAATGAAATATAAATATTCAGAAACATATGGTGTTAATAGCGACAGACTTTTCTTCCTTTTGCAGGAAAAAGCAGTAGATCCTAAAACACGCTTACTTTTGTACAAGATGGTCAATTCTGGGATGCTGGAGACTATCACTGGCTGTGTAAGCACTGGAAAAGAGTCTGTTGTGTTTCATGCCAATGGAGGAAGGTATGACCTTTTTCATGGGGTTGTAGTGTTTAAGCTATTTTGTGGTAACAAAAATACCACCAGCTATTTTGTGGTAACAACGGGGTTATGGGATGGCCCATTATAAAGATCTTGCCACAGTATCGCGATGGATTGGTACCGCTGAATCGGGCTTTTGGGTAATATCTATAGGTCACCATCTTGATTCGATCTGCATGATGAACATCATTGAGCACTTTATCATTGTTAATTATGGTTGTTTTTATTCTGTTTTTAATGTTTTATATTGGCACATGGTTGCCCTTGTTTGTAAGCCACCCTGAGCCCATTCACGGGGAGGGTGGGATAGAAATGCAATAATAAATAAATAAGTTGTGTGTGAAACTGGGAGCAACTGGAGAGTAGCAGAGAATATGGACTACATTGGTTGCTGATTTACATTTTACAATTGTCAAAATAGATGAGTCCACAATTTCCATGGCTTTCCCCCCCTTTCAAATACGTTGCAGACATATAAGCCCGTGTGGTATATTAGTCAGAGACTAGGACTGGGGAGACTCAGGTTCAAATCTCATTCAGCCATGAAGTTTATAGATGACTCTAGGTGAACTTAGTTCACAGGGTTATTTTGGAGAAAAATAGGGAAGGGAGAACCATGTATGCCACTCTGACCTCCTTGGAGCAAAAACAACATTAAAAAATGGTGTGGATACATGGAAATTAAGTAAAACCTTGTTGAGTGCACACTTTACATCTAGAAATATGCTGAACATAGAGCATGTTTTCTTTAAAAAATGAGCTACATTGGCATGTGGTGGAGTCATTACTTTGGAGACACTGCTTGGTTCAGATATTACATAAAGGTACAGTTTTAATTATACAGAAGTTAGCTGATTGTTTGAATTCAATCCTATCCATTAACTGTTGTTAGTGTAGCTACCTCAAACCAGGATCTGAAGGTGGTTTATTAAGCACAGTTACTGTAAACTGTTTCTCATAATGTACAGACAGGAATCCTGGCATGGCACTTCACTTTCTCTCCTAAGGTTAGAGATGCCTGGCAAGAGCTTCTCAGAATCAAAACTGCTCTTACCTTTCATCGCCTTTCGTTATTAGTCGTCTTGTCCTTTGAAAGCAGCAGGAAAGGTGTCACACTCCATCAGTCAAAGAAAACTGAACTTATTTCACTGTCCTATGCAAGGTAGCAGCAGGTGGCTGCCTTGGACCCAGGTGAAAGATGTGGGAAGCATGCCCCCCCCCCCGGTTGTTCATACCGCTGCAGGCAAGGTATGGGCAGTGCATTGCTCTCAGACCTGCCTTGCTGCGTCCATGGCTACAAGTCAAGCTCCAACAGCAGAATGTGAGGTAATGCTGCTGGTTGTGGATGAAACGGGGTGGGGGCTTGTTGGATACTTGGATATCTGAGTGACTTTGTGTAATCTGATTTGGTGTAAGGAAAGGGTTAGTCAAGCAAAGCAGCTGAGGGAGCGGGAATTAGTGACTGCCTTCTGTTCTGAATGAGTTCAGTTTGCCCACTGTTATACTGCCACCAGCCAACAATAAATGACTTATTTCTGTGGTAGAGCTTTGCTCTTTAGCTGGTGTTGCAATAAAGCTGGAATAGCAACCAGTTCTTTGCAAGGAAGGTGGAAGAAAGAATGAAGGAACTACAACCAGGATTTGTCAAGACAAGCCAGGATTGAATGATTGTCTGCCCACAGAATCCTGGTTTCACAAACTAGCCATAGTTAACTAAGTTATGGATTTACAGTATGTCTGAATCAAGCTATAACGATTCCTTGTTTATGGGTGTGTGTCTCTTTAAAAGTTTGGTTGCATGTGATAGTCTAGAGTGCTTGAAGAGGCAAGTGTGGTGTGATTGGTGAGTGACAGAGGGGTTTTGGAAGTAAAAATTAGTGGATGAACGGGTATGTCAGTCAAGAGTGACAGTTGATGAGGACAGTTAAACAGTCAGGTAGTTCGTTCTGAAGTCTGAGAGAGAAGCAGTTTGTGTGTGTGCAGTTAAGAACAGCTGAGGTTGTTCTGAGAGAATAGTAAAATGTAAATGAAAGTAATTGAAGACAAAGTTTAGGAAAGGCTGTATGTCCTGGAGAGAAACACTGAACTTACATGACCTTGAGTTAAAGTTACAAAGTTACATGCCAAGATCCCTGACAGTGAAGGGAAAAGTGTGTGAAATACCAAAGCAATTGTTTAGTATTTACCCATTCCTAGTTACAGTGTTCTACCATATTATTTACGAATTATATCAATCTACTTTTATTTAAGATACCAGTTCTGAAAGAAATACTTCCCAGGAAACACATAGACCCTCATGAAAGCCTAAAACCTCGACCTACCTACCCAGTGATAGAAATATTATATTATAAAGGTTTGGAAAGCCTTAAAATTTCCTGATGGCAGCCGGATATACACAGTAAAGCAAAACATAAAGAACATTTTAAAGTAAAACCAGAACTCCCCAGTTAAGGGGTCGTCACACAAGCCAATTAATATTTAAATACTGCAGATGAATTAACTTCTCATCTATGCTGCTTCCATTTTACTGATTGGTTTAAATTAATTGTATGCTGACACCTAAAATATTTTTATTTTTCCTAAAGATTGGGCGATGATGCCGTACCTGTACCTTCGGAATGTGCCATAAAAGTGTTTAAGACGACCCTTAATGAATTTAAGAATCGTGATAAGTATATAAAGGATGACTATAGGTTTAAAGACCGTTTCAGCAAATTGAATCCACGAAAGATAATCCGCATGTGGGCTGAAAAAGAAATGCACAACTTAACAAGGTATAGAAATGGTTGGATATATGTTGTAGTACTTTTCAGGATCAAGTCTGGTAAATCAGCAGAGAAGCCAGGCTTGCTTTGACCATTTATCTTGTGTGAAAACACTGTCTTTTCTACATGAAACTTTTACATTTCTAACATTCCTCACTGAATTTGTATTCTGCCATACAACTGCTATTTTACTTTAAGTCTCTGTTTTGTTGACACACATCAATGCTTGACTTCAAGACAATAGTTTTTGGTCCAGAAAGTTATAACAACATGGCTGATATAATCAATAGATGTCAATACATTATCACAAAAAACAACAACAGTGGCCCCGGTCACATGGGCAGGAAAATGCAGGGGGGAAGCGTGGCTGTTTGCCCCGGAGCAAAATAACGCGCGGCTATGCGATCAGATGTCCCATAGAGGTCCCGTCGAGGTCCCGTGGTTAGGGGGGAGGTGCCAATCACAGGACAATCCTGCCGCGCGGCAAAGAAGTGGCCTCACTAGCAAAAGGCTCCGCGGGTTTAACCCCTTCCAGGGCTGCAGAGGAATGCAAACTCTGTCCTCCATCCGGTCCCCTCTAGGAGGAGCTTCAGTCGGGCCGCCCTCCCGCCACGCCCCCCTGCACCTTCCCCTCTGCCGCCCGGTGCAGAGTTCCTCTCGAGTAGGCCGAGCCAGGAGTGGGGGGGGTATGGAGAAGAGGAGGGGGCTGTGTTGTTTTTAAACAAAGTGTGCGCATGCGCCGTTGGGTGCTTGTGCGCATCCCGTGGAGACTTGAACATGGGTGGGTGCCGGATGCCCCGACCTACCACCGGAAACGCGATCAGGCGCCCACCCTTGCCCCGTGGTTTCCGGAAACGAGTACCTCGGAGGTACTCGTTTTTTACCCTGCATCTTCGGCGGGAAGCCTCGGGTTCGCTACGGGAGCTCTACGCTTCCCAGATGTGGCGCTGTGATCGTGCCCGGAAAATCCGCCTTCCGTCTCTGTAGTGTGGCTAATGCTCCGTGTGACCACAGCCCCAGAAACACAAACACCCTGTATTAACTTCTGAGTCAAAGAAGGTTTTGGAATAAATTTTTTATTTGCTGAAAACCTGTTAAAGTGGTTTGTTGCTTTTTTCTTTTCTACAGAATGCGGAAAGCAGGCATTCCTTGTCCACAAGTGGTAACCCTTAAAAAACATGTGTTGGTCATGTCCTTCATTGGTCAGGATCAAGTTCCAGCTCCTAAACTAAAAGAAGTAAAACTCAGTAGTGAAGATATGAAAAAAGCCTACTACCAAGTTCTTCATGTAAGTTCAGTGCTATTATTGTCTCAAAACTATTGCAGACTTCCTTTATATAGTTTGCCTTTTATTCAGAGTAGCATCCTCTGTACTCCTCTGTGGTGTCAAGGCAGAAGTCCTTATGCCCACGAAAACACTCTGGATCTAAGCCAACATAAATAATGAATAATTCATGTAAATGTAGAATCTGCTTTTAAAATTAGCCTTTGATCTGTAAAAACTGAAAAGATCAGAACTGTTTAATGAAAATTAGAACTACTTAATGAACAGAGATGGAGTTGCGGTGGCTCAAGTGGTTAAGATGCTGAACTGCAGGCTGTGGAAGGTCAGTAGTTCCGCAGTTTGAGACCCGGGTGCCACATGATGGAGTGAGCTCCCATCTCTAGTTCCAGCTCCTGCCAACCTAGCAGTTCGAAAGCAAGAAATTGCAAGTAGATAAATAGGTACCACTTCGGTGGGAAGGTAACAGCGTTTTGTGTGCCTTGGTGTTTAGTCATGCCGGCCACATGACCATGGAAACGTCTTCAGACAGCGCTGGCTCTTCGGCTTTGAAACGGAGATGAGCACCGCAACCCTAGAGTCGGATTCGACTGGCTTTCGAGCAAGGGAACCTTTACCTTTACCCGCGTGCAGGGAGGGCGGGATATAAGTGTAATTAAATAAATAAATTAATTAATTAATGAACAGAGATAGCTAGAATTAAAAGTAAAATGTAGTTTGGGATCAAGGAACCATTTAACATGAAGGCTCATGTTTGGTGGAACCAGTAATTTTTGCTTGGTGTGCTTTCTGTAGTGCTACTTGTGCTAGCATTGCTAAGAATTGTAGCTTTTCTGTGTGGTACAGAAAACTGTATTAACTAGCTTTAGTAGAAAGAGGAATTACCAGGGTGTTTCTACACATCTCCATCTGTTAATCATTCACAGTTGTGCCAGTGATTCAGATATACTAGCTAGCACGAATATTTCATACTGTTTATGTTGTACTTCCATTTGGAAGACATTTTGACTCTGAGAAATAAATAGATACTTGATACTATCCTTCCTGTTAAGTATGTTCTGCATTTATCATACACTTAAATAATTTCTTAGTTTGTATGAAGAATGCCTTAATAATCACTTGTTGCTTCCTTTTAGATGATGCAGCAGTTATATAAAGAGTGCAGTCTAGTTCATGCTGACTTGAGCGAGTACAACATGCTATGGCATGGCGGACAGGTGAGCACAGTCTAAAGGGAAGAAAGTAACTGTGTCTTTACATGTTCACACCCAAATATGGCTAACTTCTAATATTTACCTTAGGTGTGGTTAATCGATGTGAGTCAGTCTGTGGAACCAACCCATCCACATGGTCTTGAGTTCTTGTTCAGAGACTGCAGGAATGTTTCACAGGTAAGACATTTGATAACTGTGATATTCTCTAATAGAACCTGTGCTGTTGCATCATTTGTGCGCTGCATATTCAAAAAAAGTTGTTTTCAAATAATGTGTTATGACTTGCTCCACACTACATCTTAGCAGTAATTCTAGTTTAAAGGAGAAGGAGGTAGCAAAATTGTCTTTTAGAGGAAAGAGTGAAAATTAAAATGTGTAATTGTAATTAGCTTTTTTTTTACATTGTGGTGCTTGTCTTAAACAAATATGCAAACAACCTAACAGTCATGGTAATCAAAGTGTAAACTTTGGGTATTTTTGTAAGACTTCGTAAGCATACCTTGATCCAGGGTCCTGACTCTAATCCAAAGATGTGCACAGATAGCCACCTTCCTGAAGATATGTAAGCCTTCTTGTACATAGTGTGTCTCAGGCAGGGGGAAGGCGCGAGAGCAGGTCAAAGAGTCAGCTGTAGGGTGGAAAACCTAGGTAAAAGTGCTGTTGTGTACCCACAGTAATACCTGTTTAAAAAGAATAGGGAGAGGCCCCTCCTGTCCATGTTGGTAGAAGATCCCAGGTTTGATTCTTGGTATCTCTAATTTAAAGGAAATCGTAGGTGCTGGGAAAGAACTTTCTTTGCCTGAGACCTGCTGTCAGTCCGATGAAACAATGGTCTGCCTTGGTATATGACAGCCTCGTATGTACTGTTAAATTGAAAAAAGTGGTAGCAAGATTGTAAAATATGGTACATCTACATGAATAATGGGAAACAACATTTCTTTATTTTTAATTAAAGTTCTTCCAGAAGAATGGTGTATCTGAAGCACTCAGTGACCGAGAGCTCTTCAGTGCTGTCTCGGGTTTAAGTTTTACAGCTGACAATGAAGCAGACTTTCTAGCTGAGGTAAGGGGGGGGGGATGTTGGGAAAGAGCTTGTTTTTTGTCACTTAAACTTGCAAACTGAAAGATATTTGCTGAAATAAGACACATGACATGATTCTGTTATGTTTCATGAAATATCTGTAATATTTTATTTACAGAAATCTATATGCAACCTCTCCAGAGACATGCTCAGGGCAGTTCTGTTATCTCTATATATATGTATACAAAGAAGCCATAAAAACATTACACAATCTGAAGTTATATCCATAACCCAGGCTAGAAGCAGGTAATGAAAACAGTACCTCACCTCTGCAGGCAGGGACACGTAGAGTAGGGCTTGCGAAAAGAATCTAAACTGATGGATTGGACAGTACAAAGGAGAAGATCCTTCAGGCATAGAGCACAAAATTGTTTAGGGCTTTAAAAGTAAAAACTAGCACTTGAGGTGTACCTAGCCACTGTGGACCTTTCAACAGAGGGATAATGTGATCTCTGTATTCAGCAACAGAGAAAACCTGGCTGCTGTATTTTGGATCAACTGAAGTTTTTGAACAGTTTTGAAAAACAATCCTACATAAAGCACTTTGGACTGCAAGAAGATCAAATCAGTCAATCCTAAAAGAAATCAACCCTGACTGTTCCCTGGAAGGCCAGATAATGAAACTGAAGCTCAAATACTTTGGCCACCAAATGAGAAGGGAGCACTCACTGGAGAAGACCCTGATGCTGGGAAAGATTGAAGGACAAAGACGGGGACGGCAAAGGATGAGATGGTTGGACAGTGTCATCGACGCAACGAACATGAAATTGAGCCAACTTCAGAGGACAGCGGAAGACAGGAGGGCCTGGCGGGAGCTGGTCCATGGGGTTGCGAAGAGTCGGACTCGACCGTGCGACTGAACAACAACAACAACCTGGATGCAGTCAGAGTATGGATCATCATAGCCAGATCACAGGACAGTTGTAATTGGTTTATTAGCTGAAGCTGAGAAAAGGTGTTGTGTCCCACGGACAAACCTTGAGCTTTCAACTGTAGCCAAAATCCGGCAGCGTGCCCCTCAGCATCATCCGAATTTTAATCCTTCGGGGGAGAGTGCCCTGATAGCACAGGCTGAATCCTCAGCCCTAAAGGTTTCCCTTGCTCAAAAGCCAGTCGAATCTGTCTCTAGGGGCAGTGCTCATCTCTGTTTCCAAGCCGAAGAGCCAGCGCTGCCCGAAAACGTCTCTATGCTCATGTGAACTGCTAGGTTGGCAGGAGATGGGGCCAGAGATGGGAGCTCACTCCATCATGTGGCACTAGGGTCTCAAACTGCCGAGCTATAGACCTTCCAGTCTGCAACTCGGCGTCTTAACCTCTGCGCCATCATGACCCTAGAGCTTTGTTATTAACCAGCAGCACGTCAGTCTTTTCTGGGCAGAGCTTCAGTTTACTGGTCCTCATCCATCCCATTACCTTCTCTAGAACTTCAGACTCAGAGAAATAGGATTGGATGTTATCTTCATATTGGTGGTACCTCCCTCCAGATCTCTCCTTGCAGTTTTGTGTATAAAATAAATAGCACGAGGGACAGAAGTACCTCATAGCATGAAGGCTATTTTAGAAGGCAAGAACAAAAAATTTATGGTGTATGTAGACATAATCTGACACTTTAAGTATAATGGTCAGCAGCAAAAAGCATCTTAGGTATGGTCAGATGTTTGTGTGTACCTAGTGTTTTTGTTTTGAGTGTGTGCATGTGAAAGAGAGGATAACATTACAGATGTGTCTTTAAAGACTGTGCACTACTGATATATTGTGGGTCCCTGCTGCTGAATTTAATTAACGGACCTGCAAGTGGTATCTTCATTAAACATTTGTTTTTGTTTGGTCCTATGCCCAGTGACCCTTATTGGCCCTCCTCCATGGTTTAGGTGTTATGTGTGTTTGTACATCCATGTATTTTTATTGAATTCTTTAAATATTTTATAAATTCTGCTTGCCACCTTGGGAACCCCATTTGGGTGGAAAGGCAGCACAGAAATGTTTTCAATAAAGACTTCTGTAGGACCCACTGTAAAGCTGGGCTTGCATAATTAATCTCCTGTGCTCAGATCTTTATGAACATTGTATGTAGTCTGTGCTAATGCAGCAGTGATTTTCCTCTTGCTTGCTACCTGTTCCCCCAGTACAAATTTAAAGATACAGTAAATTCCAACACAAAAAATGCCTAAAGACTTCTATGTGTTTTCTGTTTTACAGATTGAAGCTTTGGAGAAAATAAATGAAGATCACGTACAGAATCATGGGAAGAAGGTGTCTTCATTTTCAAATGATGATGAGGGTCCACCAATATTTTGCAACAAATAACATTTTGAATGAACTCAGATGTTTCTTGCATCCATCATTTAGTGCAGCAGTGACTAAATGTCATTTGCCAAAAGCAACAGAAATTGTGGTCAACTCAGAATGCCATAAATGAAACTTCAGGGAATATGTGTTGGTGTGTCAATTTTTTAGAAAAGCTCATATTAAGCTACTGGGACTTACCCATCTTGCCCTGAAAGAATGGAATAGTCATGTCTTTTCAATCTGGCAAAATTTTCAGGTACAGTGTAAGCAAACTGAATGTGTGAGTAGTTTCCAAAATAAGGTGACAATTTCAGATTAAACTCGGACATGTACTACAATTAGGTGCTAGATGATCTTTCCCTCTCTTTGATTAAATAGTGGTACTCAATTTTCAAAAGTTTGATTTTCTTCTAAAATTTTTAGTGCACATGCTTAAGGGAAGATCAATTTTATTGTACTGACCTGTTTGATTTAGTAATGTAGGTTTACTATTTTTCAAAAAATTGAAATAAAAGCATCTTGGTATAAATGACAATGTATACTTATCATTAAAATGCCTAAAATATTTTCCAAAGTTTTAACAAAATAAGAATATATGTAGAAATATTCAGTATGTAACTGTTGGCCTATTAAGCTTCAGACCATAATATAGTTTTAGTCAATTTTTAAAATATTGAACTTGATAAAGAGAATTTATTCTGAATTGGCAAGAGCAAAAATATTTGTACTGAACAGTATTTAAAGGGAAGACAGCTTAGACAAGAGTAACTTCAAAGGGGAAAATCTAAATTATGTAAAAAGAATAGAGAATGTTTGCAAGAACCTTTCTAACCCTAATTGCTAAATCTGAGGTGATAGTTCCCTTCTCATAGTAGATATATAACGAGTGAAATCAAAAGCATCCATTTTATTTAAGAGTACAGTGTGTTGCAATTCATTACTCCACTTAAAGATCATAAGTAAACCATGTTGTTGGTATGTATATGAACAATTCAGGAGGCATATAATCAGGGCTATTTTTGGGCAGGAACGCACAGGAACGGAGTTCCAGCTGGCTTCATAGTAGGCCACGCCCACTACAGCCAAAACCTCCGCATGTGCGTGGCTACAGAGGGAAGGCCTGGAGAGCGACACCACCACCCCCCGGGCGACTCCAAGGCAGGTGAGCCAAGGGGGCCGGAGGGGGGAGCCTTTTAATTGCCTCCCCGTGCCTTCCCCGGCCCTTTTAAACTGGCCTTCCCTTCCCTTCATGGGGGCGCGTGGCGCCCGGGCAAGCCAAGGGAAGGCATGGGGCGTGGCCTAATATGCTAATGAGCCACACTGCCGGGGTGTGGTCTAATATGCTAATGAGTTTCTGCTGTTGGGTGTGGCCTAATATGCTAATGAGTTCCAGCTGGGGGTTTTCTACAAAAAAAGCCCTGCATATTATGAACGTCCCTACAAACTGTATATGAAAGTATTGAAGAGCTCCCAAGAACAGTACATCTCTTCACTCTTTCAGTGTATTTATGTGTAACTGAATCCAATTAATTCTGATAGGCCACTATCAGAAAGGGTCATTCATTCCCTGAAACATTTTGAAGATTGACTTCAGTAGTGTGGTTCAACCACTGTATTTTCACCTTAACTTTTCAGGTTTTCTCTTTGTCCTTCAGGATGCTGTAATGAGATTATGTTGCTGTGTGAGAGCAGCTTGTGAAAATGCTGGTTTCATTTGAAAATGGGAAGTGAAATAAACACATGACATCTTATGGCTCTATTTCTTTCTAGGTCTTTTTAAAGTGTTAGCAGATTTAAGTGTTTCTTTCTACATTTTTGTCAAGCGTCTATACAGATGTAAGTCAAAATTTGGTTCAGTATCATCTAATAGTCCCCCAAAGAGCAATTGGTACTTCTATCAACAGATTGTATGGCACTGCCACCAATGAGGTTCAATAAGCTGGCCACACAACACAACACAATGTATTCGATACATGTGTTAAGATTTCAGAACAATCCCTTTAGTCAGTAGAAAAAAGCAATAGTCCAGTAGCACCTTGAAGGCTAACAAGATTTGGGGTAAGGTATGAGCTTTTGTGTGCCACTGCTATTTTCTACTGCTACAAACACAGCTACCCATCTTGATCTATCTCCTTTGGTACAGGAACAGTTTCCCTGTAGTAAATTAAGTTTAAAGTGGGTAATACTCTGTGCACTGAAGGAAAAGATGGACTAAAGAAAAAGCATGTAAAGTATCAGAATACCGACTTCATTAAAAAACAAAACACACACACACTTTGGAACACATACAGATTGGTAGTTTTCCAAAGAATGTCCTAACAGGGAAGTGTGGCTTTGTTTGAAGTGTTAAACAGCCTTGTTAAGAGCTTCTGCTACTAGAGCTTAGAACTGTTCGAGATGTCCTTAGTTAAGCTTTGTTGATCATTTTTACTGTCAAAATACTTATTTTATCTGCCCTACCTCTATAAAAGTAGGAACAGTACAGCTAATATTAGGAATGGGGTAGGGCAATTAGCTTCCTGGTGGAAGGAAACATCACCCCGACTGCCCGTAGGACTGGGAGTCATCATCATCAGTTGACCTTTATTGGCTAGAAGCCCATGAGATGGATCTTGAGCCTTTGGGAGTCAAGCAAACAGCGAGGCAGGAGAAACACCAAAGCAATAGCCTTCAATATTGCAAAGTAGTACCGTTTTAAACTTACAGTGCCAGGTACCTCTGCCTTTGCCAGCCGTCTGGCTGTGTAAGAGGGTAAAGAAAACTGAAGGAAAATTTTCAACTGCTAGGCTTCTACTGTACTTGTGTTATAATGGCAACGGTCTTTGCGGCATTTTGCTACTACAGATCTGTTCTAATACACCAGGATCCTTTTAGCTGCAGGCTGTGGAAGGTCGGTAGTTCGAGACCCGAGTGTGCCTCATGACGGAGTGAGCTCCCGTCTCTACTTCCAACTCCTGCCAACCTAACAGTTCGAAAGCAAGACATTGCAAGTAGATAAATAGGTGCCACTTCGGTGGGAAGGGTGCGCCTTGGTGTTTAGTCATGCCGGCCACATGACCACGGAAACGTCTTCGGACAGCGCTGGCTCTTCTGCTCTGAAACAGAGATGAGCACCGCAACCCTAGAGTCGGACTCGACTGGCTTTCGAGCAAGGGAACCTTTACCTTAATCCTCCTGCAAGGCTATACAGGAAGCCTCGACTGCTTTACATAAGAAAGTGAAATTTTCAATCCTCTTCAGGCCTTCAGCTGTACACAGTAAAATCCTCCTTCGCCTCGGCCTCCTCCATTTACAGAGACCAGCAGCTCCCTGGTCATGTGCAAAGGGCGTGTAACCAGGAAGCGGTTGTGAGACGCTGCGGGAGGAAGACGTAAATCCAGGCACAGTCGCCGGCTTGCGGGGAGCCGAGAGGAAGCGGCCGGCTCCGAGCGCCTGGGCCCTTCGTCCTTCTCCCGGCTGCTGGCCATGGCGGCGACCCAGGACTATTACTTGGCTCTGTGCGCGCGGCCTGTGCACTTTGAGAAGGCCAGTCCCGTTAATTGCGTCTTCTTCGACGAGGCGAATAAGCAGGTGAGTCAGGGCCGGGAGGGGCGGAGTCTTCCCGCCACCGCCTCCCCCTTTCTCAGCCTGATCGGTTTGTCGTGCGCCCAATTCCACGGTGCTTCTGGATCTGGGGCAAGGGATAAAAACAGGGACCTATTTGTACCGTCCGTATTTTCATAGCAAGAATATTTGCTTGAAAATTCTTCCCATCGTTGCATATGGCTGGAGGCGCCACTTTGCCTGCCCTACAGTATGTTTAACTAATGTTGACATCGCCTGCCCTGTACTGTTTGTAAAGCCTTTGTCTCTTCTGGTTAAAGACAAATTTAATAGTCCTGAGATCTGTATGAACAGTTCCAAATAGAGTCCAGTGGCTCTAGCATGAAAAATGGCAGGCTTAAGCTAGAAAAAACCCCGCACATCAATTATCCACTCAGAAATCCAGTTCATGGGAAAGAAGCCATGATTCAAAGGGAAAAATAGGTACAACTACTGGAAAATAAGGATTAATTGATCCCCGTTAAATAGGAATATATGTTTTAGCAGATGTAGGGAGGTTTCATAGATGTGTGTTTACTTGATGTGAAGAGCTTTAAAGCCGTTTGAAATTCCTTGAACTGGACATGGAAACTTGCAGCCCATGGAGCTAATGCAGAACTAGCTGCCAAAATTTGGTGTACACCATTCTATACTAACTGTACACCTTTGGGATGATGTTCAAAGGCAGTTTTACGCGGAGTGCTTTATGATGGTCAGTCTTTGAGAATTTCTGCTCACCTGGCATATGCTAGCATCAAATTTTGGAGGGAGGAACTGGTGGTGAAAGGCCCCACGCTCGAGGTCGGATCACAAGCATACATATGGCTGGTACAGCTTTTTCTGTATAGGGTCACCAGCCTTTAATTAGGAATAAAACTAAATCATCAGTGTTTTAGTTGGTAAAAAAGGTAAAGGTTCCCTTGATTGAAAGCCAGTCAAGTCCGACTCTAGGGTTGCGGTGCTCATCTCCTTTTCAAAGCCGAAGAGCCAGCGCTGTCCGAAGACGTTTCCGTGGTCATGTGGCCGGCACTGCAATTAAAATGAGGAAGTTTTAAGCAAAAAACAGATGTGTTAATTTGGAAACCAGTTACTTTCAGAGCTGCCAAACTGCAACTGAATCCAGATTTTCTTAACTTTTTAACTGTTTAGGTTTTTGCTGTTCGATCTGGTGGAGCTACTGGGGTGGTGGTTAAAGGTCTGGAAGAGCGCAGTCCTATCTCATTCAGGTAATAAATTTTATTTAAAACTGTATATTTAAACTTTTAGCTTTATAGAACATATTTTTCTATAGATAATAAGAACCTTATGTAAATATATTGAGTGTATTACTTTCATTGATTTTTTAATTTTCTAAAATCGTTTGTCTGGAGGGTATTGCTCTATTACTCTATTATAATAGAATAAATAAAGCCTAATAATCTAACATTGAAATACAGCCACAACTGCAGTGGTAGAGCATCAGTGTGTACTATAACCCATTTGATTCACATTGTGCTGTTACAAATAGTGGGATTATCAGACTTCTTAATGTAATATGTTCATGCTACTTGCTTACATGAGCTCTAAGTATTGTTGCTCCCAGTTGTTTGTTGTATTGCACCCAGTTTGCACTTGGATATCAAGTAGGCAGGAGTATGCCAAAGGAAATGATTGTTCTGTCTTTCCTTTGCTCTTCTGCAGAGCAGCTAGCCACTAATGGATAGCTGGAGGGCAGTTAGGCCAGGCAGGCCAATGAACAGGGCCTTGAGTGCTCTTCTCTTCTGCAGAGGTACAGAAAGGCTGGTCATTTATTGAGTCCCTTAGGTCCGCATCTCACTGGATCATCTCTTTATTTCCTTCCATATATCTAATTAATTGCCTTTCACTCTTAGAAGTAAAAATAAATTGCTGCAACAGTGTTGAAGGGGAGGGAGCATA